CAAGGTTAGAGAGATGCTGAACAATGCACACATAGCAATATATTCCGATAACTTTTTTCTCTACTTCCTGATAACGATTATTTACATAATAAACCAGGCCTGGCCTCACAGAGCATCTCAAGATCCATGTATGTTGGACAGCTGTGTGGGAACCATCTTCCTGAGGTAAGAGAGTTAACTGACTTTAAAAGTCCAGTTTCCACCCTTGCTGAACAAGGCTATTACGAGTTATGTCCCTTCCATACCTCTCCAATGGACCAATCAGATTCCACCTCTTGTATCACTTAGCATTTGCTTCAAACAAAATGGCGGCGCCCAGTCAAGACGATCTGATCGATAATCAAGATCTATATTGTGATAAAACAAGTCTTTTGCCGCTAAGTGCATCAAATCATTCGAGCTACTTGGTCAAAGACATGAAAAGATTGGGAAAATATCTTTCAATGGCCAGTTGATGGTACACTGGCTTTGCAAATTGTGCAATTGACCGAAATCTGCCCGGTTATAGCCATGTTGTTTACAAACAGGATGTCGATTTCGTTAAGCAACTGATTGGACAATGCATAGACTCATTAGGCCAGCCAAAGAATAACTCCTCAATAAAAATGTTGCAATATTCTGTGATAAAAGTTCTAAGGTGCAAGTAAAACAGACTGGTTCCATACAAGACAACAACATGAGCTGCCGCTCTCGCTTAGACAGAGATTCTAAAATCTTGATTATTGCTGAAAAGTAGCTGGGCTGTAGTACTTCAGCCATGTCCCAACACCCGTAACAATGGGGATGTTTAGTGTTATGAATTTCTTCCTGAAGTCGATGAACATAAGAGTATACCACTTGGTGAAATAAGTTCAATTTTGTGGCTTTTCAACTTGAAAAATGTGCTAAAAAGTATGGTAACTTTGTGTCTACAGTAGAACTATGTGTCTACAGTAGAACATTGTGTGGAACTTATTGTCTATTGTAGAACTTTGTTTCTATTGTGGAACTTCGTGTCTACAGTAGAACTATGTGTCTACTGTACAACTATGTGTCTATGGTGGAACTTTGTGTAGACCATTGTGTCTACTGTAGAACTTTGTGTAGAACTTTGTGTCTATTGTGGAACTTTGTGTCTACTGTAGAACTATGTGTCTACTGTAGAACTATGTGTCTATGGTGGAACTTTGTGTAGACCTTTGTGTCTATTGTGGAACTTTGTGTCTCCTTCATTCTGTTGTCTGCTCCTGACTTTGTACTTTGTTGACCTTATAAATGTATATATCCCAAAGTAAGTAGCAATAAAGGGCAAGGTCACCTGTTTGAACCTATGTATGTGCTTCCATAAACATGTTTGGTTTATCTCCAATACAGTACAAACATCACCATAGCAACCTAAATCATCCACAACTGTCGTACCTATCAAAATGTTGATACTGTGATTATATTATTGTTGTTTATTTAGATTCTGAAAGAACAGAATAATCTCAGTCCTTCCTCGTTACAGCACTGGGAAGTAGGACGCTACACCTGTGTACAGATATATAGATAACACTAGAAGATGTACATGGCTGACCCGCAATAGAAACACATTCATGGCAGAGTATAAATGTTAGTCCAGCTAGTACAGTATTAACACATATTCCCACTATTCCAGCCAGTACAATATTAACACATATTCCCACTATTCCAGCCAGTACAGTATTAACACATATTCCCACTATTCCAGCCAGTACAATATTAACACATATTCCCACTATTCCAGCCAGTACAGTATTAACACATATTCCCACTATTCCAGCTAGTACAATATTAACACATATTCCCACTATTCCAGCCAGTACAGTATTAACACATATTCCCACTATTCCAGCCAGTACAATATTAACACATATTCCCACTATTCAAGCTAGTACAGTATTAACACATATTCCCACTATTCCAGCCAGTACAATATTAACACATATTCCCACTATTCCAGCTAGTACAGTATTAACACATATTCCCACTATTCCAGCCAGTACAGTATTAACACATATTCCCACTATTCCAGCCAGTACAGTGTTAACACATATTCCCACTATTCCAGCCAGTACAGTATTAACACATATTCCCACTATTCCAGCTAGTACAGTATTAACACATATTCCCACTATTCCAGCCAGTACAGTATTAACACACATTCCCACTATTCCAGCCAGTACAGTATTAACACACATTCCCACTATTCCAGCCAGTACAGTGTTAACTCATATTCCCACTATTCCAGCCAGTACAGTATTAACACATATTCCCACTATTCCAGCTATCATCTACAACACAAACAGAAGTCATGACAACGTGTACCTGACATTCCTGTGTTGCTGGGCAACCTAACATTTCTACTGAGGCTCTTGTCAGATGGTCACTGGTTCCCAAATCGTAACTAAAATGCTCAATTCATTGTAATCATTGTAATATAGTTATAACAAATGCTGTGGCTTGTAGAGGTGACAGATATTTCACTGATCACAGAACCAGTCCAGAGGAGGGCGCATCAATGCTTACTTTTTCATCATAAAATGTTAAAATACCTCATAAGTAAGAAAAATATGAACATGTAAAAAATCCCTTCTGTGTTGTTTTACTGGCTATAGGTGAAGATATGAAAACATTTGAAAACAACAACGCGTGTACCTCCTTGATGACAGTCATCCTCCGTGTAGAGCTCCTTCCACAATATCAACATGGTGTGGAAACCGTGTCTCATTGATGACAGTCATCCTCCGTGTAGAGATCCTTCTACAATATCAACATGGTGTGGAAACCGTGTCTCATTGATGACAGTCATCCTCCGTGTAGAGATCCTTCCACAATATCAACATGGTGTGGAAACCGTGTCTCAATGATGACAGTCATCCTCCGTGTAGAGCTCCTTCTACAATATCAACATGGTGTGGAAACCGTGTCTCATTGATGACAGTCATCCTCCGTGTAGAGATCCTTCCACAATATCAACATGGTGTGGAAACCGTGTCTCAATGATGACAGTCATCCTCCGTGTAGAGCTCCTTCCACAATATCAACATGGTGTGGAAACCGTGTCTCATTGATGACAGTCATCCTCCGTGTAGAGATCCTTCCACAATATCAACATGGTGTGGAAACCGTGTCTCAATGATGACAGTCATCCTCCATGTAGAGCTCCTTCTACAATATCAACATGGTGTGGAAACCGTGTCTCATTGATGACAGTCATCCTCCGTGTAGAGATCCTTCCACAATATCAACATGGTGTGGAAACCGTGTCTCATTGATGACAGTCATCCTCCGTGTAGAGATCCTTCTACAATATCAACATGGTGTGGAAACCGTGTCTCATTGATGACAGTCATCCTCCGTGTAGAGATCCTTCCACAATATCAACATGGTGTGGAAACCGTGTCTCAATGATGACAGTCATCCTCCATGTAGAGCTCCTTCTACAATATCAACATGGTGCGGAAACCGAGTCGTTATGCTGTTGCCAAGCAACACTGGGAATGCTAATGAGATCAAGCTGATTGGGACAGTGGAAAATCTGATTCTGTTGGAAGATTCCAGTCAACATCAGCTACCATCATGGAGAGTTGCTACAAGAGGGTCACGAATTAGGCCTGAGAAATGACTTTACACATGAAGCCTAGCATGATGAGGTGGCAAAAATCTAGCGTGCTGAAATTCTACTTCTCCTAATTGTGTGTCACCAAAGTAATGAAATTTGTACATGGTTACAATACTATGAAGAGGCCGGAATGTTGAGATGAAATGTCGAACAATGGGACAAAGACGATCAGCAGTGACAGTTGATATATACATCAGTCGGTACACAACATGGAACAATGGATACAACACTGGAATATGTATGTAATCTCTGATGACAGCACTTGCTCAATAGGAGGATCATTATTCATATTATATTATATTATAGTTGTTATGAGTCACTGTGCTGTCAACAACATCCATGACGACAGTAATAATATGCAACAATGACAACGGTGGAAACATTGTCGACGGGAACAGTGGACCATGAATTGAGACCAATATGGCTGAAGTTTCACGAGTATAGACATGCTCGTACAACCAACAAGCATCACAAGCAGCCCGCACTTGCCAACAACATGATTACAGCCAGCGAGGACAACACTACAATGGGTACAATGTTCTCATAGTAAGACTTCTACAACTGACTTTAAGCCTCAAAACAGCTGTTTGGAAAAGGGACAGGGCATTCTTAACTGATTATGTGGGAACACAGCACATCACACCCCGAGCTTATGTAGACTTGCACATAGTCTCACGAGTAATTGGATGGATACAAATAATGCTTGAACCTTGACTGTGGCCTTGAGGTACAATCTGAGACAAGTTGACGAGCTTGACGCCTCATATCTAACTTCTGCAATCTCACACAGAGAGAATCTCACCTGAGTGTCTTTTGATATGAAATATATCACCACGAGTTGATAAAAGTGGAAAAAACTCTGAGGCTTGCTGTGGAGTTTTTCCACTTTTGTCAACGAGTGTTGATCTATTTGATATCAAAAGACACGAGGGTGAGATTTTGTTTATCATCCAAAATCATTCTTCCAACTTTATCAGTTTGTAGACAGTAATAAGCAGTGTGTTAGTGTAGAAACATACTGCTAACAGCTTCAGTAGCGGAGCTATTGGTGATGTCATTTGATTGTGTTGTCAAGGTAACCTAGACCGCCTCCGTGGTCAAGAGGTAGAGCGTCCGCCCAGAAAGAGCGGAAGGTCCGGAGTTCGATCCCCGGCCGTGTCATACCAAAAGATGTGAAAAGATGGTACTTGTTGTTGCCTTGTCTGGCGCTCGGCATTAAGGGGCTAAAACAAGGACTGGTATCTCAGTATGCTAGCACTATAAATCGGCATCAGTCCGGACTAGTACAAGCAGCCACACACACAAACACATGTGCATGCACATTGTTATATAAGTGCAATAATCTTGGACACGATGTTAAACCCAATTTCACCTCACCTCACCTCATGGTAACCAATGACGTCACAATAGTTTGCAAAGCATTGTGATGCAATTTCATTTCATTGCTTAATCTCACCCAAGCGATATCTCCTGTGGGAGCCAGTTTGGGATGATAAAAGTGCTTAACACCTGCAAATGACCTTAAGAGTGAATTGGACCCTCAACAAAAGTGATTAGTATGTAAAAATATTCCAAATGACTTTTAAGTAGATTAACTAAATATGACATCCTGTATTGCCTGTGGGGTATTCAATGTCACGGTATGCCAAACATTAGTCATTGAAAGTAGGTCACAGTGCCCTACCCCCGGAATGACAAGTTTGTCGTAATGATGACCCAGGTGTTTGAAGGTCACTGACCTATGAAGCACCTGTTGTCTGTTTCCGACGTAGGTCTAGTCCAAGCTCCTTCCCAGCGAGCGACACCTTTTGGAACCTCCTATTGTCATTACTGCCACCAGTGTGCAAGCGGCCATTACAAGAATCTTGAAAATTTTCCCTCTAACCTAAGTGTAATGACATTTATATTTTTGCGTAGGTCTTTTGGAATGTCATTCTAGTCAATTGGGAAAAGATTTACAACTGATTTACTATTTATCAGATGAATATATGTTTGTTTGTTTAATCAGATCGGTTCGATATTGTAGATTGTAAACATAACAATCAGTCAGAGGTCAACGCAGTGGGGACCAGTGACTGGTGGCTACAATAGCGTAGAGGCCTCAGTGAACAACTGTCACTGTTAGGAGCTTGGGACAAGAAAACGTCAGTAGTGCCAAACTGAGACATCATCTCTATCGGAAACCATTAACAGTTAGAATGATACATATTGTAAAACTGAGTCATGATACAAGGGGAGACATGTATTAGGTTTGCTGGGAGTGTCATCTGCCCCGGCCGTGGCACCACAATCGTCATGATACATGCAGAGATTCCCCTAGGGTCATGTGGAACCTATCCATGGGATAGTCATGGCAATAATCTTTGCAAAGTATTCAAAAGAACAACCTAGAGTCAAATTCTTGCAACACATTAGAGCAGTTCGTTTCACGAGGACAAAATATGTCACTTCTCCCAAACCATCGTGTTCATTCATACTGGTTTGTCGCCTGAGAAAGATTGCTGACATAAATAATATAACTGTAACTCTTCAGTATTTCGGGGAATCATAACGGTTCTTATGCAAGTCTAGTAGAACAATGCGATATCAATAAATATCTCCTCATCAATTAAACAGATAGCACAAGCCTTGTGTTTGTAGATACATCTAAAACAATGACATACATCGCCTGTGTATTGATACATCTGAAACACTGACATACATCGCCTGTGTATTGATACACCTAAAACAATGACATACATCGCCTGTGTATTGATACATCTGAAACACTGACATACATCGCCTGTGTATTGATACACCTAAAACAATGACATACATCGACTGTGTATTGATACATCTGAAACACTGACATACATCGACTGTGTATTGATACACCTACACACAACAGGATAAATGCATTTTGGAACATTCTGTAGTCTGCCATTCACTTTACATATTGGCACATGTGATGCTTGTATCTAGACGCCATCAAACCTGTCCGTCATATTTACAAAGGTACGAAAATATCCTCATCCCATGATCGCTATCAATTGCATACACACAAGTTATCTCCCTTGTCTCAAGGACACAATACCATTATGATAAAATCCATCCATTCAACCAACATACAAAAAATAAACTTGCATTCAGTGAAAACATGAAAACAAATAACTATGCTGTCAATATCGAATGTTAACAGCCGTATCCTACCAGCTGTTGTTTTACAGGCAGCCATGGCACAGACATGTTATAACCAGATTTTGTCTCTGCTAGGCTAGCTCCGGCTCTAGAAACGTTGACTCCAATAACTATTTCTATGTTAAAACATTTCATGTAAGTATTTGCCAAGGCAGCCATACAGCTATTGCAAACAGACATTACCTAGGTAACACAACAAAACTGTCTGCCCGTTCTTTACACAAGCTCTTCTGCTGGTCCTTGCGTCCCGATGTGTCTGAATTCTTCTTCATCGTCATTATCATCGTCATCTTCATCTTCGTCATCATCCAATTCCTCTACGTCTCCATTGGTCGATGGGTCAGTGGGTACAGCCCCTGCCCCTTGGTCCTCACTTAAACTAGTTACCTCCCCTGATATGTCTTCTGCTGGAGTTGCTTCCCCTTGTTCCCCTTGCAGAGTGGTCTCCCCTTGCTGTCCCCCCTTCTGCCTCACCTCCTCCTCGGCGTCCAGACAGTGCTGTAGACCGGCACAGTAATGCAGCAGCAACATCATCATGGCCTCGATCTTCTCATCAGATTTGCTCACTTGATTCTCCAGGAATCGGCGCTATAATCAGAAACGTATGTCAGCAAGAGGGTTAATGAGTGAGTTGCACCTTTCAGTCACCAGTGTGTGTTGGAATGACCGGAGCGGTCACAGAGGACTGTTTGGATAACTAGGGTTTCACGTAGCCTAAGGCAAGTAAGTCATATCACAGCCAGGGGGCGCCAGGCGTGGGCTTCACAAATGATGTTTTAAAAGAATGAGAGAGTGGCTTGAAGAAATGAAAATCATGGACATTGCTCTTGAAAACATTCAGAAAACCTTAGAGCCATTTTCTTCTCAAAATAATGGAGACTTTGCATCAGTGTATCTGATGGTATGCTCCTTGTTGCGATGGACATTAAGCAAACAGTAGAACACAAACTTTAACACTACCTGGCAAAGTTACAGTGGTGGCAGATCAGGGGCAGGATTACCATGGTAGCAGCTACCGTATAGTGCGCACCCATGTATAATGCGCACCCCCCTCTAGCGGGTTCAATATTTTGGAAAAAAAGAAATTTGAATATTATGCGCAGAAAAAATTTACACCGTACCCTTTCAGCGAAGTCCAGCAAACGAACGGGTGTTGAGAAACTTCGTCAGTACAAATTCGAAAATTTGAGATAAAAAATCACCAGACATGTTTATTTACCGTTTAAATAGTATTTATTGTTCTGCTAGGCATTGTTTTATATCTAGGGATTAAGATTACCTTGTGTATTTTCTCGTAAACTAAGCCGGAAACAGCAATCAGCTGTACACATGTTTTCTTGGAATCGACCGGTGATTCGGTCAAGACACACCCAATGATATAACTTTATAGGATTTTTAATGCAAGGATCGGCAACAATTGTATCTGAAACTATTTTTTTTATCAGGAATAATATATTCCATTATTTTCTTAATTATATGCAGCCTTTACTAAACATATTTAAAATAATAATAACCCTAAGCAAAGCAGCTGATCGCTATTCCCGGGTATTATTTTTTACATGGAACCAGTCTGACCAGTCACCGTCAAGGCTAACGCGCACGTGATCGCGTGATCGCGAGAATTTCATGTTGACATAGAATCGTCAAACAAAAACAAATATGACTTTTAACGAGTCAAAGTATGTCATTTATGATATATGTATCCATTCTCTGTCAACTAAAGTTTGTTTCAAGGCGTCAATAGCGGTATTCTGACCGTGGTTGCTGTTAATAACGGTGAGTTGTGCGATCTTCCGATCGCTTCACACACGATTTCGCCGAAATTAATGAAAACAATATTATAAGGAATTTTGAATAAAATTAATGAAATAAGTTACAAACATAAGTCCAGATATGCAAAGAACACTTTTTATAGCCAGACAGTGTAATTACATGATTATTTTGCGTACTTCAGTATGGATTTGTTGACATGGTATTTCCGGTGTTTCATGCTCACGGTAATGTCTTTCCATGGGGGAAAAAAACATCCAAACTCATAATTCGTGTATAATGCACACCCCCTTCTACACAGCTGTGTTTTTTCGAAAAAAAGTGTGCACTATACTCAAGAAAATACGGTAACTAACAAGGTTACCATGGTAGAAGACTAAGGGCAAGGTTACCATGGTAGCAGATCAGGGGCAAGATGACTGTGGCAGCAGATCAGTGTGAGGTTACCATGGTAGCAGTTAACTAACAAGGTTACCATGGTAGCAGTTAACTAACAAGGTTTCCATGGTAGCATCTGTGCACTTTATCTCACCTGGATTTGGTCGGTGGTCTCCTTTGCTGCTCGACACAAGGCGCCCTTGTTGTCTGTCTCATGATCAATCTCCTGCTGCAGCTTGGACACCTAGGTAACAGAAGAGAGTGTTACATCACCATGGTAACATCTACATTTCCATGGTTACAGAAGAGAGTGTTACACCACCATCGTAACATCTACATTTACTAGTTTCAGAGGAGAGTGTTACACCACCATCGTAACATCTACATTTACTAGTTTCAGAGGAGAGTGTTACACCACCATCGTAACATCTACATTTCCATGGTAAGATAAGAGAGTGTTACACCACAATGGTAACATCTACATTTCCATGGTTACAGAAGAGAGTGTTACACCACCATCGTAACATCTACATTTACATGGTTTCAGAGGAGAGTGTTACACCACCATCGTAACATCTACATTTACATGGTTTCAGAGGAGAGTGTTACACCACCATTGTAACATCTACATTTCCATGGTTACAGAGGAGAGTGTTACACCACCATTGTAACATCTACATTTCCATGGTTACAGAGGAGAGTGTTACACCACCATCGTAACATCTACATTTCCATGGTTACAGAGGAGAGTGTTACACCACCATCGTAACATCTACATTTACATGGTAAGATAAGAGAGTGTTACACCACCATCGTAACATCTACATTTCCATGGTAACAGAAGAGAGTGTTACACCACCATCGTAACATCTACATTTCCATGGTTACAGAGGAGAGTGTTACACCACCATCGTAACATCTACATTTCCATGGTTACAGAAGAGAGTGTTACACCACCATCGTAACATCTACACTTCCATGGTAAGATAAGAGAGTGTTACACCACCATCGTAACATCTACATTTCCATGGTAAGATAAGAGAGTGTTACACCACCATCGTAACATCTACATTTCCATGGTTACAGAGGAGAGTGTTACACCACCATAGTAACATCTACATTTCCATGGTAAGATAAGAGAGTGTTACACCACCATCGTAACATCTACATTTCCATGGTAAGATAAGAGAGTGTTACACCACCATCGTAACATCTACATTTCCATGGTTACAGAAGAGAGTGTTACACCACCATCGTAACATCTACACTTCCATGATTACAGAAGAGAGTGTTACACCACCATCGTAACATCTACATTTCCATGGTAAGATAAGAGAGTGTTACACCACCATCGTAACATCTACATTTCCATGGTTACAGAGGAGAGTGTTACATCACCATGGTAACATCTATTATCCCATATTTGGTTATCGCGTGACCTCACGGGATTTTTTTTTTTTAAACTAAAGTTTTTTTTAAAAACAAGACAGATAATTTAATCACAAATACTAAAATATCGTTGATAGCAATAGTTATTTGAATACTTTTTTCATCTGTACTTATTTATTGACCATAAAAAAATTGGATATCGATCGTCCGAGAAAGCAAAATGGCGGTCAATCAAGATTCAATATACGACTAGCTACTGAAAACAATAAAATCTGCAAATCCTCATTGTATGTCAACCAAGTGAAAGTCGTTAGCCACGACTTACAAAATGATCGTCCAGACTTTGAGGGTTTGGCAGATCCGCTCGACTGATCTGCATCGGTCGACTGGCTGTCGTCACGCTTTCGCTTCTTGTCTGAGGTTACGCATCGTAGCATTGTGAGGATAATGAGGTACATCGATGATGCAAGGTATTAATGTACAGTTGTAAACACCTTTCACTCAAATTAACAAGATGTTCTCAGTAATTAATCCTCGATTAATCAGTGTCAACTCAGTTTATTGCCTATTACAGTGATTGACCGATTGGACTATCATGTAGGTACGATGTATTTACAGCAATCAAAACAAACAAAGCTTGTCAGTGTAGACTGCAGACAGAAACTGCTCAGTCCTAACTGTTGATCATGTCCGGTCAAAATTTAAGAATGTCCGGACAATACTTTTTCAAATGTCCGGTAAGCAATATGTTAAAACGGACATTTGAGATTCCCAATCGGACATGTCCGGCGCATATGACGGTTTCCGGACCCCTGGTTACACCACCAATGTAACATCTACACTTCCATGGTTACAGAAGAGAGTGTTACACCACCATCGTAACATCTACATTTCCATGGTTACAGAAGAGAGTGTTACACCACCATCGTAACATCTACACTTCCATGGTTACAGAAGAGAGTGTTACACCACCATTGTAACATCTACATTTCCATGGTTACAGAAGAGAGTGTTACACCACCATCGTAACATCTACATTTCCATGGTTACAGAAGAGAGTGTTACACCACCATCGTAACATCTACATTTCCATGGTTACAGAAGAGAGTGTTACACCACCATCGTAATATCTACATTTCCATGGTTACAGAAGAGAGTGTTACATCACCATGGTAACATCTACATTTCCATGGTAAGATAAGAGAGTGTTACACCACCATCGTAACATCTACATTTCCATGGTTACAGAAGAGAGTGTTACACCACCATCGTAACATCTACATTTCCATGGTTACAGAAGAGAGTGTTACACCACCATCGTAACATCTACATTTCCATGGTTACAGAAGAGAGCGTTACATCACCATTGTAACATCTACATTTCCATGGTTACAGGAGAGTGTTACATCACCATGGTAACATCTATTATCCTCAGTGCCTGTATTTCATCTCAAACCTCTGTAATATATCTCAAACCCAAGCTCTCAATCCCTTATAGTTGATAAGTTTCATGTCTCAAAATCAACCAATCAAATACAACAATGTTCTCCATGTTACCATCTGATCCAGCTTCTGCTTCCGCTCCTCCACCTCCAGCTCCACGAAGAGTTCCCGACCCATCTGTTTGGCAGCCGTGACGACCGTCTCGTCCAGGTTGTTGCCCTTGACCTTGGTCTGCTGGTCATGTATCATCTTCAGGACACTCTTCTTCTCCTCATCCGACTCCGAGGAACTGTCAGCTGCATCCCGCGCATCCTGGGAACACAAACTTAGCCTGAAGAATGGTGTTCCCAGTAAGGAGTATTGGTCTTACATGGTGATTAGGGGGCAAAGTGTGTCCCCAGAAGGACATTGCTGTCTATACTGTGACTGAAGGAAGAACACATATTTTGTTAAAGAAAACCAAATTTGAACATTAGATGCAACTTCTTGATGTAAAAATTGGTATCCAATATTCTGTAAATCGGGATAGTTTTGTGCTATGAAATTACTACAAGTAGCTAACAATAGCCTTAACTGCGTCTGGAAAGTTTTGCGACATCCTGTTACGATTACCAAATATCAACGCTACTCTTGCAGGTGTTATATGTGTAAAGTAGGAAGCGTCATGATGAAATGGTAACTCAGTGTCAGTCAATTTTTTATCAAACAATAGATGCATTGAGTCTGGATTAGTTGACAACTGCTCCAAGACAACCACTCCCTGGCAACTGCTCCCTGGCGACCACAACTCAACCACTCCCTGACAACAACTAGTTGACAACTGCTCCAAGACAACCTCCTTGACAACCACTCCCTGGCAACCACTCCTTGGCAACCACTTACTATTGTAGAGTCCGGATCTTGTCTGAAGAACGGCAGCCTCCTAAGTGGGGTAGGGCTGGGCCGGGGAGAGGGTCGAGGGGAGGGTCGAGGGGAGGGTCGGGGGGAGGGGCGTGGGGAGGGGTTAGGTGATGTAGCTTGATCAGTCATCTTGCGACCTAACACAGGGCTTGCACTTGGGCTTTTGGCTGAAATGAAAACATTTAAAATATAGAATACTAAATACACCAGGAAGCCTTGTTCCCCTTCTGGGACCAAGCATCTTCCCAAGGCAAGGCGCTAACTGACAACAAATGTTCGCTTTCCACCCTCACAGAACTAGGCTGGAATTTCCAGGCTCAATCGATGCGCCACCAGGCATTACGAGTTATGTCCCTTCTATTGACCAATCAGATTCCATCTCTCATATCACTTGCATTTGCTTCAAACAAAATGGTGGCACCCAGTCAAGACGATCTGATTGATAATCAAGATCAAGGTCTTACCTCGCGAAAATGTATCAAATTTCTTGAGCACCTTGATTAAAAATGTGAAAAGATCTGTCAACGGCCACATGTGGGTACACATACATTGCAAATGCTGTAGTCGACCGAAATTTGCAAGTTGAAATCCATGTTGTTTATGAACCAGATGTCTAGTTTGTTACGTGATTTTGACGATGCATAGACTTGTGTGTCTGTTAATACTTAACAAGGGTCAGATGTTCACTTACAATGTTGTTACGTGATGTTGACGATGCATAGACTTGTGTGTCTGTTAATACTTAACAAGGGTCAGATGTTCACTTACAATGTTGTTACTTGATGTTGACGATGCATAGACTTGTGTGTCTGTTAATACTTAACAAGGGTCAGATGTTCACTTACAATGTTGTTACGTGATGTTGACGATGCATAGACTTGTTTGTCTGTTAATACTTAACAAGGGTCAGATGTTCACTTACAATGTTGTTACGTGATGTTGACGATGCATAGACCTGTTTGTCTGTTAATACTTAACAAGGGTCAGATGTTCACTTACAATGTTGTTACGTGATGTTGACGATGCATAGACTTGTGTGTCTGTTAATACTTAACAAGGGTCAGATGTTCACTTACAATGTTGTTACGTGATGTTGACGATGCATAGACTTGTTTGTCTGTTAATACTTAACAAGGGTCAGATGTTCACTTACAATGTTGTTACGTGATTTTGACGATGCATAGACCTGTTTGTCTGTTAATTACTTAACAAGGGTCAGATGTTCACTTACAATGTTGTTACGTGATGTTGACGATGCATAGACTTGTTTGTCTGTTAATACTTAACAAGGGTCAGATGTTCACTTACAATGTTGTTACGTGATGTTGACGATGCATAGACTTGTGTGTCTGTTAATACTTAACAAGGGGAAGATGTTCACTTACAATGTTGTTACGTGTTTTTGACGATGCATAGACTTGTTTGTCTGTTAATACTTAACAAGGGGAAGATGTTCACTTACAATGTTGTTACGTGATGTTGACGATGCAGAGACTTGTGTGTCTGTTAATACTTAATAAGGGTCAGATGTTCACTTACAATGTTGTTACGTGATGTTGACGATGCATAGACTTGTTTGTCTGTTAATACTTAACAAGGGTCAGATGTTCACTTACAATGTTGTTACGTGATTTTGACGATGCATAGACCTGTTTGTCTGTTAATACTTAACAAGGGGAAGATGTTCACTTACAATGTTGTTACGTGATGTTGACGATGCAGAGACTTGTGTGTCTGTTAATACTTAATAAGGGTCAGATGTTCACTTACAATGTTGTTACGTGATGTTGACGATGCATAGACTTGTTTGTCTGTTAATACTTAACAAGGGTCAGATGTTCACTTACAATGTTGTTACGTGATGTTGACGATGCATAGACTTGTTTGTCTGTTAATACTTAACAAGGGTCAGATGTTCACTTACAATGTTGTTACGTGATTTTGACGATGCAGAGACTTGTGTGTCTGTTAATACTTAACAAGGGTCAGATGTTCACTTACAATGTTGTTACGTGATTTTGACGATGCAGAGACTTGTGTGTCTGTTAATACTTAACAAGGGTCAGATGTTCCCTTACAATGTTGTTACGTGATTTTGACGATGCATAGACTTGTTTGTCTGTTAATACTTAACAAGGGTCAGATGTTCACTTACAATGTTGTTACGTGATTTTGACGATGCATAGACTTGTGTGTCTGTTAATACTTAACAAGGGGAAGATGTTCACTTACAATGTTGTTACGTGATTTTGACGATGCATAGACTTGTGTGTCTGTTAATACTTAACAAGGGGAAGATGTTCACTTACAATGTTGTTACGTGATTTTGACGATGCATAGACTTGTGTGTCTGTTAATACTTAACAAGGGGAAGATGTTCACTTACAATGTTGTTACGTGATTTTGACGATGCATAGACCTGTTTGTCTGTTAATACTTAACAAGGGTCAGATGTTCACTTACAATGTTGTTACGTGATTTTGACGATGCATAGACTTGTGTGTCTGTTAATACTTAACAAGGGGAAGATGTTCACTTACAATGTTGTTACGTGATTTTGACGATGCATAGACCTGTTTGTCTGTTAATACTTAACAAGGGTCAGATGTTCACTTACAATGTTGTTACGTGATGTTGACGATGCATAGACTTGTTTGTCTGTTAATTACTTAACAAGGGTCAGATGTTCACTTACAATGTTGTTACGTGATTTTGACGATGCATAGACTTGTTTGTCTGTTAATACTTAACAAGGGGAAGATGTTCACTTACAATGTTGTTACGTGATTTTGACGATGCATAGACTTGTGTGTCTGTTAATACTTAACAAGGGGAAGATGTTCACTTACAATGTTGTTACGTGATGTTGACGATGCATAGACTTGTGTGTCTGTTAATTACTTAACAAGGGTCAGATGTTCACTTACAATGTTGTTACGTGATTTTGACGATGCATAGACTTGTTTGTCTGTTAATACTTAACAAGGGTCAGATGTTCACTTACAATGTTGTTACGTGATTTTGACGATGCATAGACTTGTTTGTCTGTTAATACTTAACAAGGGGAAGATGTTCACTTACAATGTTGTTACGTGATTTTGACGATGCATAGACTTGTGTGTCTGTTAATTACTTAACAAGGGTCAGATGTTCACTTACAATGTTGTTACGTGATTTTGACGATGCATAGACTTGTTTGTCTGTTAATACTTAACAAGGGGAAGATGTTCACTTACAATGTTGTTACGTGATTTTGACGATGCATAGACCTGTTTGTCTGTTAATACTTAACAAGGGGAAGATGTTCACTTACAATGTTGTTCTATCTTTAGGGTCAGATGTTCACTTACAATGTTGTTCTATCTTGGGCACCAGGTTGGACGTGTCCTTGTTGCGGAACTTGCTGAGGAGGCGCCCAGTTCGACTCTCCTCAGACGAGACTTTCTTCCGCACCGTCACGGGCGTCTTCCACTCCTCTGTGGGCTGGCTGCGCTTCTTGGCACCCTCCCTAAAACAGCCACAGGATTCAGACAAACCGTTACACACACTCAGGGTTCAGACAAACCGTTACACACACTCAGGGTTCAGACAAACAGTTACACACACTCAGGGTTCAGACAAACCGTTACACACACACTCAGGGTTCAGACAAACCGTTACACACACTCAGGGTTCAGACAAACAGTTACACACACTCAGGGTTCAGTCAAACCGTTACACACACTCAGGGTTCAGACAAACCGTTACACACACACTCAGGGTTCAGACAAACCATTACACACACTCAGGGTTCAGACAAACAGTTACACACACTCAGGGTTCAGACAAACCGTTACACACACTCAGGGTTCAGACAAACAGTTACACACACTCAGGGTTCAGACAAACCGTTACACACACTCAGGGTTCAGACAAACAGTTACACACACTCAGGGTTCAGACAAACCGTTACATACACTCAGGGTTCAGACAAACCGTTACACACACTCAGGGTTCAGACAAAGCATTACACACACTCAGGGTTCAGACAAACCATTACACACACTCAGGGTTCAGACAAACCGTTACACACACTCAGGGTTACGACAACCCGTTACACACACTCAGGGTTCAGACAAACCGTTACACACACTCAGGGTTCAGACAACCCGTTACACACACTCAGGGTTCAGACAAACCGTTACACACACTCAGGGTTCAGACAACCCGTTACACACACTCAGGGTTCAGACAAACCGTTACACACACACTCAGGGTTCAGACAAACCGTTACACACACTCAGGGTTCAGACAAACCGTTACACACACACTCAGGGTTCAGACAAACCATTACACACACTCAGGGTTCAGACAAACCATTACACACACACTCAGGGTTCAGACAACCCGTTACACGCACTCAGGGTTCAGACAACCCATTACACGCACTCAGGGTTCAGACAAACCATTACACACACTCAGGGTTCAGACAAACAGTTACAGACACTCAGGGTTCAGACAAACCGTTACACACACTCAGGGTTACGACAACCCGTTACACGCACTCAGGGTTCAGACAAACCATTACACACACTCAGGGTTCAGACAACCCGTTACACACACTCAGGGTTCAGACAACCCGTTACACACACTCAGGGTTCAGACAAACCATTACACACACTCAGGGTTCAGACAAACCATTACACACACTCAGGGTTCAGACAAACCATTACACACACTCAGGGTTCAGACAAACCGTTACACACACTCAGGGTTCAGACAAACCATTACACACACTCAGGGTTCAGACAAACCATTACACACACTCAGGGTTCAGACAAACCGTTACACACACTCAGGGTTCAGACAAACAGTTACACACACTCAGGGTTCAGACAAACCGTTACACACACTCAGGGTTACGACAACCCGTTACACGCACTCAGGGTTCAGACAAACAGATGCTCAGGGTGCAATCCAGACAAATTCTATTAGAAGCTTTGCAAAGAAATATGACTGACAATTTAATATAAAATCTGGTAGTTATAGAAAACAGTTGATACCCACTCAGCATTAGTTCCATAATTACGATGACTCAGCCCTACAGGGGTGATGAATGATGCCTACAGTATTGTGGTAGTAGTGGGATAGCAGGATGGCTGTCTCCACTGTACTACAGATCTCAAACAAGAAATTATGTGTCTGACAAGTTTAAAGTTGATGTGCAGCGAAAGGTCAAAGACAGGGCCAGATTGACTTACTTTGTGCAAAGTGTCTCGTTCTGACACTTTTCAACACATTTCTTGTGGCAGATCAACGAGCAGGTCCGACACTGGTACGCCGTCTTCATCCAGATCTGTGTCCAACAGACAGTCATGTGAGTGATTGTAACAAAGTCTGCAGACAGTGGTGGATGGGAAAATGTCTCATCTACACACTAGACTTCCGAGATAGTTCATGTATTACCTTAGTTACATTCTCAGTGAATATTGAAAAACATTTAACCATAGTTTGTATATTCTTGAAAATTACCTGCCCTAAAATAGAGCACTGAAACGTAATTAATATTTTCCAATATTACAGTGGTTGTTTTCTGCAACATCCAGATATTAAGATAAAAGATAACAGTTACAACAGAAAAAAACCCTGTTTATCCTGTGGATGAATCTAAAGTTTTGAAACAAGAATGTCACAGTACCAGTGAGGAGGACAAGGAAGTCAACAAACCTTCTTCCCACAGAAGTTGCAGTAGGTGGCCGACTGAAACTGGGTCAAGGTCATGATGTGGAGACCTTCAGATGGACTGTGAAAGGAAGGTCAAGAGGTTAAATCTGACTCTATCACGTGAAAGGCATCATGTCTGTCATGTTAAAGTACTGACCAATGATGATGAGACAACCCAAAGTAGCTTGAAGGACCACCTAATAGCTGCAACTCTGCATCAGTGGACCGACCCCCTCTCAATGTCAGTGCAACTCTGCATCAGTGGACCCACCCCCTCTCAATGTCAGTGCAACTCTGCATCAGTGGACCCACCCCCTCTCAATGTCAGTGAATGCAACTCTGCATCAGTGGACCCACCCCCTCTCAATGTCAGTGAATGCAACTCTGCATCAGTGGACCCACCCCCTCTCAATGTCAGTGAATGCAACTCTGCATCAGTGGACCCACCCCCTCTCAATGTCAGTGAATGCAACTCTGCATCAGTGGACCCACCCCCCTCTCAATGTCAGTGAATGCAACTCTGTATCAGTGGACCCACCCCCTCTCAATGTCAGTGAATGCAACTCTGCATCAGTGGACCCACCCCCCTCTCAATGTCAGTGAATGCAACTCTGTATCAGTGGACCCACCACCCTCTCAATGTCAGTGAATGCAACTCTGCATCAGTGGACCCACCCCCTCTCAATGTCAGTGAATGCAACTCTGCATCAGTGGACCCACGCCCTCTCAATGTCAGTGCATCAGTGGACCTGCTCCCCCTGACCTCCTCATCAGCATCAGTGGACCTGTCCCTCCCAACCCAAACACCCCCCTCCCAATGTGGTGAGTGAGTGAGTTGGGTTTTATGCCGCTTTTAACAGTATTCAAGTTATATCACGGCACGTAAGCTTAATGTGGGAGGAAAGCCTGAAGTGATGCAGGTCTCAGAATTTTACCACTTCGGTGAAACCCACGAGCATGGGTATGGTGCTGACAAACCTAGAAACATAATCGGGGCGAACCGGGATTCGAACCCACAATCATAGGTTTCTGGCGTGCCCAAGGGACGCAACCCTGCACAGCGAATCGCGGTGCCTTAGACGACTGTCCCCCCTCCCAATGTCAGTGAGTGAAGGAAGATAAGGCTGCAGGTGCCTGGTGATTGGACCTGACAGTTATGATGACAACTCACAGCTTGGTGGTCTGTGGCACATCTCTGACAACATCGTCTACAATGGCTTCCTTGGCACTTAGGCACTCAACAACCCTGGGGTCAACGGACTCCTTGGGGATCCGGCAACGGTCCAGGTCCGACAACTTGAGGGGGGTGAAGTGGAGCCCGAGCTTGATGTCCCCGTAACACAGGTCCGGCTCAAACCCGGGGTGGTTCGCCCAGTTCTCCGACTTGGGGCGGCTGAAGAACAACATGAGAACATGTGAGACATGCTGTGAATGTATAGTTGTAGTTACGCGGTGAATGTATAGTTGTAGTTACGCGGTGAATGTATCGTTGTAGTTACGCGGTGAATGTATAGTTGTAGTTACGTGGTGAATGTATCGTTGTAGTTACGCGGTGAATGAATAGTTGTAGTTACCCGGTGAATGTATAGTTGTAGTTACGCGGTGAATGTATCGTTGTAGTTACGCGGTGAATGAAAAGTTGTAGTTACGTGGTGAATGTATAGTTGTAGTTACGTGGTGAATGAATAGTTGTAGTTACGCGGTGAATGAATAGTTGTAGTTACGCGGTGAATGAATAGTTGTAGTTACGCGGTGAATGAATAGTTGTAGTTACGCGGTGAATGCATAGTTGTAGTTACGCGGTGAATGTATCGTTGTAGTTACGCGGTGAATGAATAGTTGTAGTTATGCGGTGAATGTATCGTTGTAGTAACGCGGTGAATGAATAGTTGTAGTTACGTGGTGAATGTATAGTTGTAGTTACCCGGTGAATGTATAGTTGTAGTTATGCGGTGAATGTATAGTTGTAGTTACGCGGTGAATGAACAGTTGTAGTTACGCGGTGAATGTATGGTTGTAGTTACCCGGTGAATGTATAGTTGTAGTTACGCGGTGAATGTTTAGTTGTAGTTACCCGGTGAATGTACTGGTAATTGTTCATGATTCTGATAATGTACCACTGGTGATTGTTCATGATTCTGATAATGTGACACTGGTAATTGTTCATGATTCTGATAATGTGACACTGGTGATTGTTCATGATTCTGATAATGTGACACTGGTAATTGTTCATGATTCTGATAATGTAACAATGGCAATTGTTCATGATTCTGATAATGTGACACTGGTGATTGTTCATGATTCTAATAATGTAACACTGGTAATTGTTCATGATTCTGATAATGTGAAACTGGTAATTGTTCATGATTCTGATAATGTACCACTGGTAATTGTTCATGGTTCTGATAATGTGACACTGGTAATTGTTCATGATTCTGATAATGTAACAATGGCAATTGTTCATGATTCTGATAATGTGACACTGGTGATTGTTCATGATTCTAATAATGTAACACTGGTAATTGTTCATGATTCTGATAATGTGACACTGGTAATTGTTCATGATTCTGATAATGTACCGCTGGTAATTGTTCATGGTTCTGATAATGCACCATTGGTGATTGTTCATGATTCTGATAATGCACCATTGGTGATTGTTCATGGTTCTGATAATGCACCATTGGTGATTGTTCATGGTTCTGATAATGCACCATTGGTGATTGTTCATGGTTCTGATAATGCACCATTGGTGATTGTTCATGGTTCTGATAATGCACCATTGGTGATTGTTCATGGTTCTGATAATGTGACACTGGTAATTGTTCATGATTCTGATAATGTACCACTGGTAATTGTTCATGGTTCTGATAATGCACCATTGGTGATTGTTCATGATTCTGATAATGCACCATTGGTGATTGTTCATGGTTCTGATAATGCACCATTGGTGATTGTTCATGGTTCTAATAATGTACCACTGGTTATTGTTCATGGTTCTGATAATTTAACAATGGCAATTGTTCATGATTCTGATAATGTGACACTGGTGATTGTTCATGATTCTAATAATGTAATACTGGTAATTGTTCATGATTCTGATAATGTGACACTGGTAATTGTTCATGATTCTGATAATGTACCACTGGTAATTGTTCATAATTCTGATAATGTGACACTGGTAATTGTTCATGATTCTGATAATGTAACAATGGCAATTGTTCATGATTCTGATAATGTGACACTGGTGATTGTTCATGATTCTGATAATGTAACACTGGTAATTGTTCATGATTCTGATAATGTGACACTGGTAATTGTTCATGATTCTGATAATGTACCACTGGTAATTGTTCATGGTTCTGATAATGCACCATTGGTGATTGTTCATGATTCTGATAATGCACCATTGGTGATTGTTCATGGTTCTGATAATGCACCATTGGTGATTGTTCATGGTTCTGATAATGCACCATTGGTGATTGTTCATGGTTCTGATAATGCACCATTGGTGATTGTTCATGATTCTGATAATGTGACACTGGTAATTGTTCATGATTCTGATAATGTACCACTGGTAATTGTTCATGGTTCTGATAATGCACCATTGGTGATTGTTCATGATTCTGATAATGCACCACTGGTAATTGTTCATGGTTCTGATAATGCACCATTGGTGATTGTTCATGATTCTGATAATGCACCATTGGTGATTGTTCATGGTTCTGATAATGCACCATTGGTGATTGTTCATGGTTCTGATAATGCACCATTGGTGATTGTTCATGGTTCTGATGATGCACCATTGGTGATTGTTCATGGTTCTGATAATGCACCATCTGTGATTGTTCATGGTTCTGATAATGTACCATTGGTGATTGTTCATGGTTCTGATAATGTACCATTGGTGATTGTTCATGGTTCTGATAATGCACCATTGGTGATTGTTCATGGTTCTGATAATGCACCATTGGTGATTGTTCATGGTTCTGATAATGTGACATTGGTAATTGTTCATGATTCTGATAATGTGACACTGGTGATTGTTCATGGTTCTGATAATGTGACATTGGTGATTGTTCATGATTCTGATAATGTGACACTGGTGATTGTTCATGGTTCTGATAATGTGACACTGGTGATTGTTCATGATTCTGATAATGCACCATTGGTGATTGTTCATGGTTAAGAAGCACAGAGATGACGATGCCTGATTCTGGTTACCTCGCTCCTGCTTTCATCTCCCCCGGCAACAGGTACACCGTCTGTTGCGTGTCCCCCTGCATCGTCATCAGACAGTACAGCGTGATGTCAGACAGCGGCAGACTCACCTGTGTGTAAAGCTTGGGTGAGTTAACAATACACACGGGTGAGTCAAAACACCTACCTGGCCATGAAGCACACACAAACATCTGGATTAGCTTCAAGAACGATCGAGTTGTGACTGACGAAGCTTAGAACAGTCACATGACATAAGGTTCTACAATTGGCATGGTAAATACAAATTGACAAAAAGATTCCACGTCATTACATCCCCCACTCACTGAAGCCAGTATATCACACTATTAAAGTCTGCTTTGGCCAGTATATCACACTATTAAAGTCTGCTTTGGCCAGTATATCAAACTATTAAAGTCTGCTTTGGCCAGTATATCACACTATTAAAGTCTGCTTTGGCCAGTATATCACACTATTAAAGTCTGCTTTGGCCAGTATATCACACTATTAAACTCTACTTTGGCCAGTATATCAAACTATTAAAGTCTGCTTTGGCCAGTATATCACACTATTAAACTCTACTTTGGCCAGTATAACAAACTATTAAAGTCTGCTTTGGCCAGTATATCACACTATTAAACTCTACTTTGGCCAGTATAACAAACTATTAAAGTCTGCTTTGGCCAGTATACCACACTATCAAACTCTACTTTGGCCAGTATAACAAACTATTAAAGTCTGCTTTGGCCAGTATATCACACTATTAAACTCTACTTTGGCCAGTATAACAAACTATTAAAGTCTGCTTTGGCCAGTATATCACACTATTAAACTCTACTTTGGCCAGTATAACAAACTATTAAAGTCTGCTTTGGCCAGTATATCACACTATTAAACTCTACTTTGGCCAGTATAACAAACTATTAAAGTCTGCTTTGGCCAGTATACCACACTATCAAACTCTACTTTGGCCAGTATAACAAACTATTAAAGTCTGCTTTGGCCAGTATATCACACTATTAAACTCTACTTTGGCCAGTATAACAAACTATTAAAGTCTGCTTTGGCCAGTATATCACACTATTAAACTCTACTTTGGCCAGTATAACAAACTATTAAAGTCTGCTTTGGCCAGTATATCACACTATTAAACTCTACTTTGGCCAGTATACCACACTATCACACTCTACTTTGGCCAGTATATCACACTATCAAACTCTGCTTTGGCCAGTATACCACACTATCAAACTCTACTTTGGCCAGTATACCACACTATCAAACTCTACTTTGGCCAGTATATCACACTATTAAACTCTACTTTGGCCAGTATATCACACTATTAAACTCTGCTTTGGCCAGTATATCACACTATTAAACTCTACTTTGGCCAGTATACCACACTATCACACTCTACTTTGGCCAGTATACCACACTATTAAACTCTACTTTGGCCAGTATATCACACTATTAAACTCTGCTTTGGCCAGTATATCACACTATTAAACTCTACTTTGGCCAGTATACCACACTATCCCACTCTACTTTGGCCAGTATATCACACTATTAAACTCTGCTTTGGCCAGTATATCACACTATTAAACTCTACTTTGGCCAGTATACCACACTATCAAACTCTACTTTGGCCAGTATACCACACTATCAAACTCTACTTTGGCCAGTATAACAAACTATTAAACTCTACTTTGGCCAGTATATCACACTATTAAACTCTGCTTTGGCCAGTATATCACACTATTAAACTCTGCTTTGGCCAGTATATCACACTATCACACTCTACTTTGGCCAGTATACCACACTATTAAACTCTACTTTGGCCAGTATATCACACTATTAAACTCTGCTTTGGCCAGTATATCACACTATTAAACTCTACTTTGGCCAGTATACCACACTATCACACTCTACTTTGGCCAGTATACCACACTATCAAACTCTACTTTGGCCAGTATACCACACTATCAAACTCTGCTTTGGCCAGTATACCACACTATCAAACTCTGCTTTGGCCAGTATACCACACTATTAAACTCTACTTTGGCCAGTATACCACACTATCACACTCTACTTTGGCCAGTATACCACACTATCAAACTCTACTTTGGCCAGTATATCACACTATTAAAGTCTACTTTGGCCAGTATACCACACTATCACACTCTACTTTGGCCAGTATACCACACTATCAAACTCTACTTTGGCCAGTATATCACACTATTAAAGTCTGCTTTGGCCAGTATACCACACTATTAAACTCTACTTTGGCCAGTATACCACACTATCACACTCTACTTTGGCCAGTATACCACACTATTAAAGTCTACTTTGGCCAGTATACCACACTATCACACTCTGCTTCGGTATATCACACCGTGTCATCACCTGTAGGAGCACTGCCCAGACAGACACAGGTTGTGGAATCTGATGACAAACCAAGGATCATAATCTAGTTAACGCTGGGATTGGAACCTTTGTTCAGTGATGTCACAGACAAATTGGCCTCCCTGACCCAGGCTACCAGTCATTGCCGATCCGCCTTGAAATAGGAGAGGATACAGTTATTTCACACTGAGATTCATGTCCCCACTCACATGTCCGAGCAGCAGGTCCCTTGTGGCCTTGATGACCCGGTCACTCTTGTCCACCTTCTCCGGGATCTTGCAGCGCACACAAACATTCAGGTAGCGCTGCTGCTCCCCAAGGTCAAAGGTCACTTCCTTGTTCCACTTGGGGTTCTGGGAAATAGATCAGGCCCTTATCAAGCAGGTATTTCACACTTTGAGTGAGCTGCTTCCGTCACTGGACAGGAGACAGTCATATATCTTAGAGGTGGTGGAAATAATGGTGTAATTTTAATTCATAATTTTCTTGTGAAAGAAATAATCTGATTAGCATCTGTAGGGTGAGCAAATGATTTCATGATCAATCAGCGGATTTTCAAATGTGTAATATGGAACAAGTTATCAGGTTTCAGAAAGAGCTGAGACTATCTATATGTAGCTGGGCTATATGTAGTCTTGGGTTACCATGGTTACAGAACATGATGCTGATATTCACCTTGCATGCCGGCACCTCCGGAATCTTCTGTACATTGTAAAGATCGTCATCGCTATCGCTGTCAACATCACCGCTGTTTACACTGTCAACATCATCGGCTACGGTCTGGAGAAAAACACAGTAATGTTAGTCTGGTGTATTTCTGGTACTTCTGTTGGCCGGCCTGTTCAATGATTGCAACACAAGGTGGAGACTCAATATAACAAGCAGACTTCAGAGTAACATACATCTCGGGCAAAATGATTTCATAATATTAAAATAAGTAGGGATTTGAATACCATAATATGTTATCTGATTATTTCCATGTACTATGGCTAGAAGTGCATGGATGGCGTGGCTGCCACTGACAAGCAATCAGACTCTTGCACAACTTGGAATGAAGAAGAGATGCATTTGTGAGAAGAAGTCTGTGACATAAGGAATTGCCCAACTTTTGTCTTAACTTACAGGTCTCTTGCAGGAAAATGCGTCGGTAGGTAAAACAACCAATGAAAGAAAATAAAGCAATTTAGATTGTATGAGATTGGAATTCCTACTAACACAGAAACAACCATGCCAGGTCGGCAAGAGAATTAGAGTAACCTCCCTTCCCTAATTTAAGGATTGACTGTGGATTTGTTTCGGTTCATTGAGGTATGAATCGAAAAACTGATGTGCAAACTGTATGAATCTGCGTAGCACACAGATCCCCCAATCTCCACACACTAACACTACATGGACACAGGTAAATGACAAGGGCAACAAGCGTATAGTCAACAAAGTCATCTATATCCCCAGCCCATTTTAACACATTATGGTCCCAAACCATTACTGATCCAACATTTCTCTTAGCCCATGTCCAAATAGCTGCAATGGAAATTCTAAAATAAACATTTCTAAAACTCCTTAATATCAAATGGCACCAGTTCAGTATGTGCTTTATGTATAGACATGCAATGTTTGGCAAGGAAATATTTAACAGTTTATTTGTTATACTCCATAAGTGAACCCACCCTATATTAAAAGTTAAATCAAACTTGTTGTCATGGGAACATAAAAAATAAAAATTTATAAAAGTGCTAAATATCAAAAGGCACCAGTTCAGTATGTGCCTGGTAGACATGGAAGGTTTTGTAAGAAAGTATTTAACGTTTTTTTAGCTACACTCCGAAAACGAACACCACCCTTATAGAACTTAAGTCCAACTTGTTGCCATGGAAACGTAAAAAAATAAAATAAATAAAAGTGCTAAGTATCAAAAGGCACCAGTTCAGTATGTGTCTGGTAAACATGCAAAGTTTTGTTAGAAAGTATTGAATGGATTTTGAGTTATGCACTGGAAACAAACTCTACCCTATAGAACCTGAGTCCAACTTGTTGCCATGGAAACGTAAAAACTAAAAATTTCTAAAATTCCTAAATACCAAAAGGCACTAGTTCAGTATGTGTCTGGTATGCATACAAAGTTTTGTAAGAAAGTATTGAATGGGTTTTGAGTTATGCTCAGGAAACGAACTCTACCCTATAGAACCAAAGTCCAACTTGAAAACATGAAAACTAAAAATTTCTAAAAGTGTTAAATAGCCAAAGGCACCAGTTCAGCATGAATCTGATAGGCATGCAAAGTTTGGCAGAGAAATATTTAACGGTTTCTGAGTTATGCTCTGGAAATGATTTCAGGACGCACGCAGGCACACACACACACACACACACACACACACACACACACACCACACACACACACACACACACACACACACACACACACACACACACACACACACACACACACACACACACACACACACACACACACACACGGACGGAACACATTTCAATATCCCCGCCAACTTCGCTGGGGCGGGTTCTAACAAGATCTGAAGTTGTAGAGAACTGTAGAATGCTCTTTATTATAGGGGGTTGGATATGGACTCCATTGACAGTGATGTTAACTTGTAGTAGAAAAACTGGCAAATTGAATGAGCTCGAGATTACTTTGAAACCTTGAAACCTACGTCCATTGCCCTGACTGACCTTCATTGCAAACCCTGGATCACTCTCGGCTCTCTCCCGCCGTGGAGAACCATCACGTCGAGTTGTCTCCCCTGTCTGCAGGCGTGGATCGGACTTGCGCTGTCCGAGCCGTACAGGACTACTCTCAGCAGAGTGTTGTGACGTGGAAGTCTTGGCGCGCTGTCGGAGCTCACTCTGTGCGGGCACAGACAGGCTGCTGCCGCCAGACCCAGCCTTATCCAGCTTCAGAGATTTCACAGAGCTGGAGTCGGAGTCTTGTGTTGTTTTGAAACTGATGTGGACAAAATCTTCACTGTCTTCATTCGACTGCCCATCTTCTAGACCATCTGTCTCAGTCTCCTGTTCAGATGGAAAGCATTTTTTTGTGACACAGCCATGCTAAATATTAGGTTTGTTTGACAACATTTGTTTCTTGTTTATCTGCACACTCAGCAATATTCCAGCCAAATAAGGGCAGTCTATGAATTATCGAGGACCAGACAATCAAGTGATTGACATCATGAGAATTGATCTATACACTCTGGGTACAATGACGTGCATCAACCAGTCAGCGAGTCTGAACACCTGATCCTGTTCGTCGCCTCTTACGACACATGTGGGTTGCTGAAGACCATTTCTAACCTGGGTTTTCATCGGGGACGACAGATCTGTCAGATTTAGTACTCTAGTCATATCTGGATAAGTCCTTCAAGCCGACTGTTACATCTCATGCAAGTGATAACTCAGGGGACCAGGACAAGAGTTTCTACTTAGCCAGAGTTCTCGCTGTTCTCTTTAAGATGTTTAATGAATAAAAACATTTGGATTGAGAGAGAATTGGGAGAAATGTTTCAGCTGTATCCCAGTATTTCAGTGGAAAATTGGAGGGATTCAACCCAGCGCCTCCCTCGTTGTATACACATCTCTATATCACCCTCGTTGTATACACATCTCTATATCACCCTCGTTGTATACACATCTCTATATCACCCTCGTTGTATACACATCTCTATATCACCCGTGAACATGTAAGGCTGCGATGCACTGTAACCGCGATGCACTGTAACCGCGATGCACTGTAACCGCGATGCACTGTAACCGCAATGCACTGTAACCGCGATGCACTGTAACCGGGATGCACTGTAACCGCGATGCACTGTAACCGGGATGCACTGTAACCGCGATGCACTGTAACCGGGATGCACTGTAACCGGGATGCAGGTTTTTGTCAGATGATGAGGCTGAGAATAGCTGATGGAAGTCAACCGTATCCCTCCCGCTGGAACCAGGCTACTGATTGATTCCCTGCCTAGAGCTAGAGCCGTCACTGCAACGTGGCTGTATGTAGTCATGTGATGGAGAATAGGATGCATGTAATCCTGTGAAGTATTGACAATGTATTCACAAGTAATGGAGACTGTGGCTTATATAAACTCCCACCTTGTAGGGTAAGGTCTCCTCGAAGAACTTCACCTCTTGTGACATCTTCAGTTGTGGCCTTTCAAGACGTACGGTAAACCTGAAGCAGAGACAACACATGGCTGGCTCACGGACATGACTGCTGCCAGGCAACACAAGTACTATATCGGAGTGAGTTAGGTGTCACGCTGCTTAGAAGAGTACTTCATCAACATCACAGTGGGTCAACTTCATGTGGGATGTGTTATGTTTGTTGTTTAACATGTTAAACAAATGTTAAACAACATGTCTGAATTGAACATGTCTGAACTGAACAACATGTCTGAACATGTCTGAACTGAACATGTCTAAACTGAACACCATGTCTGAACTGAACACCATGTCTGAACTGAACACCATGTCTGAACATGTCTGAACTGAACAACATGTCTGAACATGTCTGAACTGAACAACATGTTTGAACTGAACAACATGTCTGAACAGAACAACATGTCTGAATTAAACATGTCTTAACTGAACAACATGTCTGAATTAGACAACATGTCTGAACAACATGTCTGAACAACATGTCTGAACAACAATGTGGAGGGGGTACATGTACATGTTACAGTCAGTGGTAAATAAGAGAGTATATTAGTAAGGAGTAAGTATATACTACGAAACATTGTGTTCCTCATTATTAAATGCCATTCAAAGACTGCATGTGTAAAATGACAACTTTTCACTCAGGCAACTTTACACATTGACAGTAACCATGGTAACACACATGGACTTGGGGTCAATGGGGAAATGAACCTCACCTTCTCTGGCTGAGTTAGCACTTGAGAGAAAGTTTGGTCTTCAAGTCATAAACAAGTTCAGGTACAATACACTGCTGTAGTTCTGTATCTGTTACGAATGTTCCAACATTAAAGGGGCATTCAGCCAGCCTAGTGGTTTATGTGTTCGCACGTCACACCGTAGACCTGGGTTTGATTCCCCACATGGGTACAGTGGATACACATGTGAAGCCCATTTCTGGTGTTCCCGGCCATGATATTGCTGGAATATTGCTAAAAGCAGCGTAAAACAATACTCACTCACTCACTCCAAACCCCACCTTGCAGCCTGGAGCAGGCTGACATTCAGTGTTTGTCCAGAAGAGACTGACAGCCTTGCTACTGATGCTGTGACAGGGGACCTAACTATATCCTGTCCTCCAGGCAATGTACATCTTTATCTGTCTGTTGCAATCACACTACCTTTCTCCAGGATTCCGCAGTAGTTTGGCAGCCTGCTTGCAGGATGTAATCTTTGTTGTTCCCACAGCAACCAGCACATCATTCTACACAAACATAGATAACACCTATGTCACAGTTTGTATTCTGTCCCAGGGAATACCAGTTCAGACAGCATCAACAGATAACACCTATGTATGTTATATCAGGGTATAACTGTTATATACTACATCAACAGATAACACCTATGTATGTTATATCAGGGTATAACTGTTATAGACTACATCAACTGATAACACCTATGTATGTTATATCAGGATATAACTGTTATAGACTACATCAACAGATAACACCTATGTATGTTATATCAGGGTATAACTGTTATAGACTACATCAACAGATAACACCTATGTATGTTATATCAGGGTATAACTGTTATAGACTACATCAACAGATAACACCTATGTATGTTATATCAGGGTATAACTGTTATAGACTACATCAACAGATAACACCTATGTATGTTATATCAGGGTATAACTGTTATAGACTACATCAACAGATAACACCTATGTATGTTATATCAGGGTATAACTGTTATAGACTACATCAACAGATAACACCTATGTATGTTATATCAGGGTATAACTGTTATAGACTACATCAACAGATAACACCTATGTATGTTATATCAGGGTATAACTGTTATAGACTACATCAACAGATAACACCTATGTATGTTATATCAGGGTATAACTGTTATAGACTACATCAACAGATAACACCCATGGATTTTATATCACTGTCCAGCAGCTATAAAGGTCAGTGATGATGGAGGCAGCGCTCACCCTCTTGATGTCGGCCATGGATGCAGGACTCTCCGGTGAGACGCTGTCCACCATGACGACCAGGTCAAACCTGGCCAGCAGATTCTCCTGAAGCACATGGAAACTCAGTATCACAAGTCTGTCACATTTCACTTCCCACATAAATGTCTGTTTGTTGTTTACTGGTGCTCTCAGAAATATTCCAGCTATTTGAGGACAGCCTGTAAATGATCAAGTCTGGACCAGACAAACCAACTGATATGAGCAATGATCAACGCTCCCAGTGTTCAATGAAATGCAATATTCCAGATCAAGTATGGTCTTTCGTTAATGCAAGCAAATTTCAAGGAATAGCATGGCTGGGAACCGGACCTTCACACACTGTTCTCATGTAGGGAATCAAACCCGGGCCTTTGACGTGAGGAGTGAAACAACCAACCTACCCCACCACCCTTGGGCCAGACAAAGCATGACTACTGAAACAATTGGAGTATCAAGAAGAATTGATTACAAAGACGTATTATTGTAAACATCTTTAACAATGTAGTGCACCTCTCTGAACGTCATGCCGATGGATGTAGCAGCGCCCTTGATGACCTCGACGTCATGGGACACCCAGACCCGCTGGTGCCGGTTCACAAGTTCCTTCCACTCCAGTTCATCTGGCACACATGGAGAGACAGAGAAGCTAGATAAATGATTTTATATAGGGAATATTGCAGCAATTGCATCACAATGACATGCACACCATTGTGACATCAACAGTTACCATGACATCACAATCAAATGACATCACTAATCTCTGCCACTGAAGCTGGGTATCAGTACATTTACACTAAAGACTCAGACTATTAGTGGTACAAACTGGAAAAGTTGAAAGAATGAGTTTGGATGACATGGATGATAAATAGAACCTCATCCGACTGTCTTTGATATCATATATATCAACACTCGATAAAAGCTTAAAAGTCCTCTGGAAGCAACAGAGTTTTAGATTTTAATTGAGTCGTATGGATATATTTGATCTCAAAATGGTAAGATTCTCTTAAAGTAACATGAATACATCTCAAGCAGCAGTTGACATTAAATGATATACACATCATAGACGCCTAGCACAGGTCTTGTTTTGACAGAGGATCATAACCTTCGTAATTTGTGACAACCTCCACAGAGTGAGTGAATGTTCTTCTATGCCACCATCAGCACTATTCCAGCTGTATCATAGCGACCTGTACAGAATGGAGTCTGGGCCAGACAAACCAGTGATGGAAAGCATGAGTATCGATCTATGACATCGGCGCACAATGACACCCCATCAGCCCAGTCACACAATCTCACCACCCCATCAGCCCAGTCACACCGTCTCACCACCCCATCAGCCCAGTCACACAGTCTCACCACCCCATCAGCCCAGTCACACAGTCTCACCACCCCATCAGCCCAGTCACACAGTCTCACCACTAAATCAGCCCAGTCACACAGTCTCACCACCCCATCAGCCCAGTCACACAGTCTCACCACCCAATCAGCCCAGTCACACAGTCTCACCACCCCATCAGCCCAGTTTCACAGTCTCATCACCCCATCAGCCCAGTCACACAGTCTCACCACCCCATCAGCCGAGTCACACAGTCTCACCACCCCATCAGCCGAGTCACACAGTCTCACCACCCCATCAGCCCAGTCACACAGTCTCACCACCCCATCAGCCCAGTCACCCCATCAGCACAGTCACACAGTCTCACCACCCCATCAGCCCAGTCACACAGTCTCACCACCCCATCAGCCGAGTCACACAGTCTCACCACTCAATCAGCCCAGTCACACAGTCTCACCACCCCATCAGCCCAGTCACACAGTCTCACCACCCCATCAGCCCAGTCACACAGTCTCACCTCCCCATCAGCCCAGTCACACAGTCTCACCACCCCATCAGCCGAGTCACACAGTCTCACCACTCAATCAGCCCAGTCACACAGTCTCACCACCCCATCAGCCCAGTCACACAGTCTCACCACCCCATCAGCCCAGTCACACAGTCTCGCCACCCTATCAGCCCAGTCACACAGTCTCACCTCCCCATCAGCCCAGTCACACAGTCTCACCACCCCATCAGCCGAGTCACACAGTCTCACCACCCCATCAGCCGAGTCACACAGTCTCACCACCCCATCAGCCCAGTCACACAGTCTCACCTCCCCATCAGCCCAGTCACACAGTCTCACCACCCCATCAGCCGAGTCACACAGTCTCACCACCCCATCAGCCCAGTCACACAGTCTCACCACCCAATCCTGATAACTTGGCTCTTACAAAAAGCAGGCCGTATTTGACAGGGAATCACAACAGCCCATGTACAGGCTTAAGCGAACATGTATACTGTGTACATCACACTTACCCACAGATATCGTACAGTACAGTTTGGCATCTTTCGGTGTTTTAAGTAGTCTTGAGCATTCTATGACATTCACCCGGAGTCGGCCCACGCTGATGTTCTGCCCGCTCACACGGAACTCTCTCAGGGGACGGGACAGGGACGGTTGCAGAAAGAACGGTTTGAATCGCATCTTGAAGTTCGGGAGTGTGTGTTTCTTCCTAATACTGCGTCTTATCTGGATTGAGGATAAAGTCAGTCACTTATATATCTCTAGATATTGATTTAATTTTACCTAACCTTACATCTATGTCACCATCCCCAAGTCCTGGAACTGTAATCAAATATTGAGTACTTATGTCAGTACAGTGCGCCATCAAACATCTGCCAATCACCCACCCTTCCAGCAATACTGCAGCTATATTACAGGGTCAGCAATACTGCAAATATATTACAGGGTCAGCAATATTGCAGCTATATCACAGGGTCAGCAATATTGCAGCTATATTCCAGGGTCAGCAATATTGCAGCTATATTCCAGGGTCAGCAATACTGCAGCTATATTACAGGGTCAGCAATATTGCAGCTATATCACAGGGCCAGCAATATTCCAGCTATATCCCAGGGTCAGCAGTATTGCAGCTATATTACAGGGTCAGCAATATTGCAGCTATATCACAGGGTCAGCAATATTGCAGCTATATTACAGGGTCAGCAATATTGCAGCTATATTACAGTGTCAGCAATACTGCAGCTATATTACAGGGTCAGCAATATTGCAGCTATATTACAGTGTCAGCAATATTGCAGCTATATCACAGGGTCAGCAATATTGCAGCTATATTACAGGGTCAGCAATATTGCAGCTATATAACAGGGTCAGCAATATTGCAGCTATATCACAGGGTCAGCAAAACTAACAAAGCATATATTGTTTAGCATGATTTCTGCACAAAACATGACACCACTCAACATGATAACACTTGTGCCACAACCAGGGCAGCCCAGATCTTACTTGATTTATGATGAAGTTGGTTATTTGGGGCAGTCCTTTCCCCTCAAACTGCGACTCCACCTCGAACTCCACCTCGGGATCCTGGGGTCAAGAACATCGAGAACATCAGGAACATCAAGAACATCAGGAACACTTGGCTAAATGATCAATGACATAACTTCCATTGCATACGTGTTTACTTCATCCAACATCTTCCCAAAATCATCATCTTCAACCAAACTAAACTGCATCCACCACCCACGAAAACATCTCCAATCATGCCCACATAAACATCTCCACCCCACTCTAACATATCCACCCCACTCTAACATATCCACCCCACATAAACATCTCCATCCCACTCTAACATATCCACTCCACTCTAACATCTCCACCCCCACCCTAACATCTCCACCCCACTCTAACATATCCACCCCACATAAACATCTCCATCCCACTCTAACATATCCACTCCACTCTAACATCTCCACCCCCACCCTAACATCTCCACCCCACTCTAACATATCCACCCAACATAAACATCTCCACCCCACTCTAACATATCCACCCCACTCTAACATATCCACCCCACATAAACATCTCCACCCCACTCTAACATATCCACCCAACCCTAACATCTCCACCCGACAAAAACATCTCCACCCCCACCATAACATCTCCACCCCACATAAACATCTCCAACCCACCCTAACATCTCCACCCCACCCTAACATCTCCACCCCCACCCTAACATCTCCACCCCACCCTAACATCTCCACCCCACCCTAACATCTCCACCCCTACCTAACATCTCCACCCCACCACCCTAACATCTCCACCCCACCAGCCTAACATCTCCAAACCACCCTAACATCTCCAGCCCACCAGCCTAACATCTCCACCCCACCCTAACATCTCCACCCTACCCTAACATCTCCACCCCACCCTAACATCTCCACCCCACCCTAACATCTCCACCCTACCACCCTAACATCTCCATCCTACCCTAACATCTCCACCCCACCACCCTAACATCTCCACCCCACCCTAACATCTCCACCCTACCCTAACATCTCCACCCCACCCTAACATCTCCACCCCACCCTAACATCTCCACCCTACCACCCTAACATCTCCATCCTACCCTAACATCTCCACCCCACCACCCTAACATCTCCACCCTACCCTAACATCTCCATCCTACCCTAACATCTCCACCCCACCCTAACATCTCCACCCCACCCTAACATCTCCACCCCCACCCTAACATCTCCACCCCACCCTAACATCTCCACCCCCACCCTAACATCTCCACCCCACCCTAACATCTCCACCCCACCCTAACATCTCCACCCTACCACCCTAACATCTCCACCCCACCCTAACATCTCCACCCCACCCTAACATCTCCACCCTACCACCCTAACATCTCCATCCTACCCTAACATCTCCACCCCACCACCCTAACATCTCCACCCCACCCTAACATCTCCACCCTACCCTAACATCTCCACCCCACCCTAACATCTCCACCCCACCCTAACATCTCCACCCTACCACCCTAACATCTCCATCCTACCCTAACATCTCCACCCCACCACCCTAACATCTCCACCCTACCCTAACATCTCCATCCTACCCTAACATCTCCACCCCACCCTAACATCTCCACCCCACCCTAACATCTCCACCCCCACCCTAACATCTCCACCCCACCCTAACATCTCCACCCCCACCCTAACATCTCCACCCCACCCTAACATCTCCACCCCACCCTAACATCTCCACCCTACCACCCTAACATCTCCACCCCACCCTAACATCTCCACCCCACCCTAACATCTCCACCCTACCCTAACATCTCCACCCCACCCTAACATCTCCACCCCACCACCCTAACATCTCCACTCCACCACCCTAACATCTCCACCCTACCCTAACATCTCCACCCCAACCACCCTAACATCTCCACCCCATCACCCTAACATCTCCACCCCACCCTAACATCTCCACCCCACCCTAACATCTCCACCCCACCAGCCTAACATCTCCACCCCACCCTAACATCTCCACCCTACCCTAACATCTCCACCCTACCCTAACATCTCCACCCCACCACCCTAACATCACCATCCCACCCTAACATCTCCACCCCACCACCCTAACATCTCCACCCCACCACCCTAACATCTCCATCCCACCCTAACATCTCCACCCCACCCTAACATCTCCACCCCACCACCCTAACATCTCCACCCCACCACCCTAACATCTCCACCCCACCACCCTAACATCTCCATCCCACCCTAACATCTCCACCCCACCCTAACATCTCCACCCCACCACCCTAACATCTCCACCCTACCCTAACATCTCCACCCCACCCTCACATCTCCACCCCACCCTAACATCTCCACCCCACCACCCTAACATCACCATCCCACCCTAACATCTCCACCCCACTCTAACATCTCCAACACACCCTAACATATCCAACCCACCCTATCATCTCCACCCCACCACCATAACATCTCCTCTCCACCCCACCACCCTAACATCTCCACCCTACCCTAACATCTCCACCCCACCCTAACATCTCCACCCCACCACCCTAACATCTCCACTCCACCACCCTAACATCTCTACTCCACCACCCTAACATCTCCACCCCACCACCCTAACATCTCCAGCTATATGACGGGGGTCTGTAAATAAATACCTCCCGCCTACCTCACAGAAGGAGAAGGACTTGTGTGTGTAACACACCCCACCTACCTCACAGAAGGAGAAGGACCAGTGTGTGTAACACCCCACCCCCACCTACCTCACAGAAGGAGAAGGACCAGTGTGTGTAACACCCCACCCCCACCTACCTACCTCACAGAAGGAGAAGGACCAGTGTGTGTAACACCCCACCTACCTACCTCACAGAAGGAGAAGGACCAGTGTGTGTAACACACCCCACCTACCTCACAGAAGGAGAAGGACTTGTGTGTGTAACACACCCCACCTACCTCACAGAAGGAGAAGGACGAGTGTGTGTAACACCCCACCCCCACCTACCTCACAGAAGGAGAAGGACCAGTGTGTGTAACACCCCACCCCCACCTACCTACCTCACAGAAGGAGAAGGACCAGTGTGTGTAACACCCCACCCCCACCTACCTCACAGAAGGAGAAGGACCAGTGTGTGTAACACACCCCACCTACCTCACAGAAGGAGAAGGGCCAGTGTGTGTAACACACACCCCACCTACCTCACAGAAGGAGAAGGACCAGTGTGTGTAACACACCCCACCTACCTCACAGAAGGAGAAGGACCAGTGTGTGTAACACCCCACCCCCACCTACCTACCTCACAGAAGGAGAAGGACCAGTGTGTGTAACACCCCACCTACCTCACAGAAGGAGAAGGACCAGTGTGTGTAACACACCCGACCTACCTCACAGAAGGAGAAGGACCCGTGTGTGTAACACACCCCACCTACCTACCTCACAGAAGGAGAAGGACCAGTGTGTGTAACACACCCCACCTACCTCACAGAAGGAGGACCAGTGTGTGTAACACCCCACCCCCACCTACCTCACAGAAGGAGAAGGACCAGTGTGTGTAACACCCCACCTACCTACCTCACAGAAGGAGAAGGACCAGTGTGTGTAACACACCCCACCTACCTCACAGAAGGAGAAGGACCAGTGTGTGTAACACCCCGACCCCACCTACCTCACAGAAGGAGAAGGACCAGTGTGTGTAACACACACCCACCAACCTCACAGAAGGAGAAGGACCAGTGTGTGTAACACACACCCCACCTACCTCACAGAAGGAGAAGGACCAGTGTGTGTAACACACACCCACCAACCTCACAGAAGGAGAAGGACCAGTGTGTGTAACACACACCCCACCTACCTCACGGAAGGAGAAGGACCAGTGTGTGTAACACACACCCACCTACCTCACAGAAGGAGAAGGACCAGTGTGTGTAACACACCCCACCTACCTCACAGAAGGAGAAGGACCAGTGTGTGTAACACACCCCACCTACCTACCTCACAGAAGGAGAAGGACCAGTGTGTGTAACACCCCACCCCCACCTACCTCACAGAAGGAGAAGGACCAGTGTGTGTAACACACCCCACCTACCTCACAGAAGGAGAAGGACCAGTGTGTGTAACACACCCCACCTACCTCACAGAAGGAGAAGGACCAGCGTGTGTAACACACCCCACCTACCTCACAGAAGGAGAAGGACCAGTGTGTGTAACACCCCACCCCCACCTACCTACCTCACAGAAGGAGAAGGACCAGTGTGTGTAACACACACCCTACCTACCTCACAGAAGGAGAAGGACCAGTGTGTGTAACACACACCCTACCTACCTCACAGAAGGAGAAGGACGAGTGTGTGTAACACACCCCACCTACCTACCTCACAGAAGGAGAAGGGCCAGTGTGTGTAACACCCCACCCCCACCTACCTACCTCACAGAAGGAGAAGGACCAGTGTGTGTAACACACCCCACCTACCTACCTCACAGAAGGAGAAGGACCAGTGTGTGTAACACCCCACCCCCACCTACCTACCTCACAGAAGGAGAAGGACCAGTGTGTGTAACACACACCCTACCTACCTCACAGAAGGAGAAGGACCAGTGTGTGTAACACACACCCTACCTACCTCACAGAAGGAGAAGGACGAGTGTGTGTAACACACCCCACCTACCTACCTCACAGAAGGAGAAGGGCCAGTGTGTGTAACACCCCACCCCCACCTACCTACCTCACAGAAGGAGAAGGACCAGTGTGTGTAACACACCCCACCTACCTACCTCACAGAAGGAGAAGGGCCAATGTGTGTAACACACACCCCACCTACCTCACAGAAGGAGAAGGACCAGTGTGTGTAACACACCCCACCTACCTCACAGAAGGAGAAGGACCAGTGTGTGTAACACCCCACCCCCACCTACCTCACAGAAGAAGAAGGACCAGTGTGTGTAACACACCCCACCTACCTACCTCACAGAAGGAGAAGGACCTGTGTGTGTAACACCCCACCTACCTACCTCACAGAAGGAGAAGGACCAGTGTGTGTAACACACCCAACCTACCTACCTCACAGAAGGAGAAGGACCTGTGTGTGTAACACCCCACCCCCACCTACCTCACAGAAGGAGAAGGACCAGTGTGTGTAACACACCCCACCTACCTCACAGAAGGAGAAGGACCAGTGTGTGTAACACCCCACCCCCACCTACCTCACAGAAGGAGAAGGACCAGTGTGTGTAGGGTTTTCGAGTCAGCTGGAGTCGAGCTGGCCCCTTCAGTTTCTTCACAACGACCGACAGGTAGGCGGACTTGTTGAACAGCAGCAGGATGTCTATTGCGAGCTGGAAGCCTCCCGCGTAGTCGATGTCCACGCCCAGGTCCAGCTCCTGGAACATACACCTCAGTACATGGAACCTTGATGCAGCAACTGTGATGGTAAACTACAACAACATTGCAGACAACCTCTCCTGCTGGCTGCAGATGGTGTCTAAAAAGCAGGACACACAGATTGCAGCTGAAAGTGGTCTCCCCTGGCCAAAGTATTATTTATGCCCTACAGTCATTGTGGAATTTAAGTTTACCAGTTTGATGAAACCCACGAGCACGGGTATGGTGCTGAGAAACCTAGAAACATAATTGGGGCGAACCGGGATTCAAACCCTCAATCATAGATCTCTCGCATGGCCTAGGCACCCAACTCTACAGAGCGAATTGCGGTCGCCTTTAGACGACTGGGCCACCCATGCCCCCCTAGTACATCCATACACCAATTGATCTTGGACTGACTGAGAGTCACAGGACAGTCAACAGAACAGTTGCTTGCCTCTCACAGCTTATATGCTTATATGTGATATAACCGAAGTACTGTTAAGAGCAATCAGAAACACACATGTGTAATACACCCTCCAAGTAGCAACCAATCTGGCTGCATTTGCAACCTAAATTACCATTTTGCAACCTGTATTTATTGCTTGGTTGCCAGTTGGCTCCCATCATAAAATTAGCTTGCCGACTAAAATATTTCACATATTGAAAGAAACTGGAGTACAACGTTGCTTGTCTATATCGACATCAAGACGTCCCTGTTCAGGGTAGAGTATGACACCTTACAGTGGTACTGAAGCCTATCTTGCTTCTGATGCTGTCATCTGTACTGCTACAAGGTAATGTATTTCTGGTCATGCACACATTTCTCAGTTTACTTTCACAATGGTGGCTTGTTCAAATCATAGAAGAATATTTCGACATGTTTTCAAGAGCCATTGCTAAGCCAAACCGTCCATCACAGAATGATGATGTGAATGACAAACTATGGCTATTTCTGCCAGTACTCCTACAAGGCGTTTCTTAGATGCAGATGTGGGTGGGCAATGTGGAAGCAGAGAACTCAGCATCGGGATGCGAGACAACCGAGATTACTTCATCTGCTCTGCATGAGTCTGATAGCAATAAATGAATGGAAATCCAAGCGAAATGCATAACACAAACATTGGAATAAGCACAAAGGCAGCAGCAGTGTTGTTTCAGGTAATTGGCTAAGCGAATTCCAGTGATTGTCTCTTGATGGGGGCAATTGTTCAATGACTTGTCTTTATTGCAGCAAATTTTGTTGTTCAGACATATAAAAACAATGTTTTCAAGCTTGTCTTGTCTTAATATTTAATTTCTAAAATAATAAATTCTTTGTCAATCGAAATCAATGTGTCGCCTTAAATTTGTATGTGCTCCTAAGAGTTTGATATTGCCAGGAGCCAAGTGGCTCCAATAAGGGATGATCTAAGTAAACTACCTACCTCTGTCCCATCATCGGTGATGGAGACATTCCGGACTCGGACGTTGTTGACGACCGGGAAGTTGTTGCCAAGACTGAAGTTTTGCACCTGAAGACATGTGACAGTGTTACAAGAGGCAGGGTGAGGTAAAACGGGGCTGAACATAGGAAGAGTAACAACAAGTACCATCTTTCTAACGTCTTTTGGTATGACGCAAACCACTACCTTCTGCTCTCACGGAGCATTGAGGCAGTCTATGAGCCAAGGAGGTCATATAACGTTATAACACAAGAGGCAAGGAGGTCATGTAACATTATAACACACGAGGCAGGGGGTCATGTAACGTTATTACACATGAGGCAAGGAGGTCATGCAATGTTATAACACACGAGGCAAGGAGGTCATGTAACGTTATAACACACGAGGCAGGGGGTCATGTAACGTTATAACACACAAGGCAAGGAGGTCATGTAACGTTATTACACACAAGGCAGTGGATCATGTAACGTTATTACACATGAGGCAAGGAGGTCATGCAATGTTAGAACACACAAGGCAAGGAGGTCATGTAACGTTATTACACACGAGGCAGTGGGTCATGTAACGTTATTAGACACGAGGCAGGGGGTCATGTAACATTATAACACACGAGGCAGGGGGTCATGTGACGTTATTATACACAAGGCAGGGGGTCATGTGAAGTTTTGGTCTTTTGGTATGACGCAAACCACTACCTTCTGCTCTCACGGAGGACGGAGGCAGTCTATGAGGCAAGGAGGTCATGTAACATTATTGCATGAGGCAAGGAGGTCATGTAACGTTATAACACACGAGGCAGGGGGCCATGTAACGTTACTGCACGAGGCAGTGGGTTATGTAACGTTCGACACATGAGGCTCGGGGTCATGTAACGTTATTACACATGAGGCTCGGGGTCATGTAACGTTATTACACATGAGGCTCGGGGTCATGTAACGTTATTACACATGAGGCTCGGGGTCATGTAACGTTATTACACATGAGGCTCGGGGTCATGTAACATCATACAGCAGACAGGGGGTCATGTAACATCATACAGCAGACAGGGGGTCATGTAACATCATACAGCAGACAGGGGGTCATGCTACGTTATTACACATGAGGCAGGGGGTCATGTAATGTTATTGCACGAGGCAGGGGGTCATGTAACATTATAATACACCAGGCAGGAGGTCATGTAACATTATAATACAACAGACAGGGGGTCATGCTACGTTATTACACACGAGGCAGGGGGTCATGTAATGTTATTGCACGAGGCAGGGGGTCATGTAACATTATAATACACCAGGTAGGGGGTCATGTTACGTTATTACACATGAGACAGGGGGTCATGTAACGTTATAATACACCAGACAGGGGGTCATGTAACGTTATAATACACCAGACAGGGGGTCATGTGATGTTATAATACACAAGACAGGGGGTCATGTGATGTTATTATACACGAGGCAGGGGGTCATGTGACGTTATTATACACGAGGCAGGGGGTCATGTGACGTTATTATACACAAGGCAGGGGGTCATGTGAAGTTATTATACACGAGGCAGGGGGTCATGTGACGTTATCATACACGAGGCAGGGGTCATGTAACATTATATTACACAAACAGTCAAACATAACAGCAGCATGTATGGCAGTCTTTGATATCTTCATTTGTCTGGTAGCCATGGAAACATATAAACCATATGACACAGGGCAACATAACATAACAACTGATTTATAATTCAGTACATCCATATAATCATTGACAAAATCTTGCTTCATCAAATCAATAGCATTAGGCTGTGTTGTCAGAATTCTCCTTCTTTCTGTACGGTGACTGATCATGTTCATGTAGGTGACAGTACAGTGAGACCTTGGAACTACTCACCGTGATCTGGTCCACAAACTTCCCTGACATCGTCTGCAGCAGCTCCGCAAACTCCAGATTCATCTTCTTCATCAGCCACCTGACAGGGGAGATAACGCAGTAACATAATAACAATATATTCAATTGCTGACGACAGACGATTCTTATTAAGTCATTTTGGCTGAGCTACAAAGACTGGAGAACTAGACTCTTATCATCTTTTATATCTGACCCAACCAAATCCTGATTTACTTGTCAGGATGTGACTCTGCCAGAATTATTAACTACTGACAACGGGAAATACTAACTACTGATTTAACAATGCCTAGGCAATAACAGACACTAGTGACACAACCTGTTAACAATGCTAGGCAATTACATACACTAGTGATACAGCCTGTTAATAATGATAGGTCAACAACATACACTAGTGACACAACCTGTTTACAATGCCAAGGAATAACATACACTAGTGATACAGCCTGTTAATAATGCTAGGGAATAACAGACACTAGTGACACAACCTGTTTACAATGCTAGGGAATAACAGACACTAGTGATACAGCCTGTTAATAATGCTAGGGAATAACATACACTAGTGACACAACCTGTTGACAATGCCAGGGAATAACATACTTTAGTGACACAACCTCTTAACAATACTAGGGAATAACAGACACTTGTGACACAACCTTTTTACAATGCTAGGCAATAACATACACCAGTGACACAACCTGTTTACAATGCTAGGCAATAACAGACACTAGTGACACAACCTCTTAACAATACTAGGGAATAACAGACACTTGTGACACAACCTTTTTACAATGCTAGGGAATAACAGACACTAGTGATACAGCCCTTAATAATGCTAGGGAATAACAGACACAAGTGACACAACCTGTTTACAATGCGAGGGAATAACAGACACAAGTGACACAACCTGTTAATAATGCTAGGGAATAACAGACACTAGTGACACAACCTGTTTACAATGCCAAGGAATAACATACACTAGTGATACAGCCTGTTAATAATGCTAGGGAATAACAGACACTAGTGACACAACCTGTTTACAATGCTAGGGAATAACAGACACTAGTGATACAGCCTGTTAATAATGCTAGGGAATAACATACACTAGTGACACAACCTGTTGACAATGCCAGGGAATAACATACTTTAGTGACACAACCTCTTAACAATACTAGGGAATAACAGACACTTGTGACACAACCTTTTTACAATGCTAGGCAATAACATACACCAGTGACACAACCTGTTTACAATGCTAGGCAATAACAGACACTAGTGACACAACCTCTTAACAATACTAGGGAATAACAGACACTTGTGACACAACCTTTTTACAATGCTAGGGAATAACAGACACTAGTGATACAGCCCTTAATAATGCTAGGGAATAACAGACACAAGTGACACAACCTGTTTACAATGCGAGGGAATAACAGACACAAGTGACACAACCTGTTAATAATGCTAGGGAATAACAGACACTAGTGACACAACCTGTTAACAATGCTAGGGAACAACAGACACTATTGACACAACCTGTTAATAATGCTAGGGAACAACAGACACTAGTGACACAACCTGTTTACAATGCTAGGCAATAACAGACACTAGTGACACAACCTCTTAACAATACTAGGGAATAACAGACACTTGTGACACAACCTTTTTACAATGCTAGGCAATAACAGACACTAGTGACACAACCTCTTAACAATACTAGGGAATAACAGACACTTGTGACACAACCTTTTTACAATGCTAGGGAATAACAGACACTAGTGATACAGCCCTTAATAATGCTAGGGAATAACAGACACTCATGAGACAACCTCTTAACAATACTAGGGAATAACAGACACTTGTGACACAACCTTTTTACAATGCTAGGGAATAACAGACACTAGTGATACAGCCCTTAATAATGCTAGGGAACAACAGACACAAGTGACACAACCTGTTTACAATGCTAGGCAATAACAGACACTAGTGACACAACCTCTTAACAATACTAGGGAATAACAGACACTAGTGACACAACCTTTTTACAATGCAAAGGAATAACATACACTAGTGATACAGCCTGTTAATAATGCTAGGGAATAACAGACACTAGTGACACAACCTGTTAATAATGCTAGGGAATAACAGACACTCATGACACAACCTGTTTACAATGCCAAGGAATAACATACACTAGTGATACAGCCTGTTAATAATGCTAGGGAATAACAGACACTAGTGACACAACCTGTTAACAATGCTAGGCAATAACATACACAAGTGACACAACCTGTTAACAATGCTAGGGAATAACAGACACTAGTGACACAACCTGTTTACAATGCTAGGCAATAACAGACACTAGTGACACAACCTGTTAACAATGCTAGGCAATAACATACACTAGTGACACAACCTGTTTACAAGGCTAGGCAATAACAGACACAAGTGACACAACCTGTTAATAATGCTAGGGAATAACATACACTAGTGACACAACCTGTTAACAATGCTAGGGAACAACAGACACTAGTGACACAATCTGTTTACAATGCTAGGCAATAACAGACACAAGTGACACAACCTGTTAACAATGTGAGGGAATAACAGACACTAGTGATACAACCTGTTAACAATACTTGGGAATAACATACACTTGTGACACAACCTGTTAACAATGCTAGGGAACAACAGACACTAGTGACACAATCTGTTTACAATGCTAGGCAATAACAGACACAAGTGACACAACCTGTTAACAATGTGAGGGAATAACATACACTTGTGACACAACCTGTTAACAATACAAGGCAATAACATTGCTTTTTGGGTTTTATTTATTTGTTGCCATTTTTTTGGATGACCAGTCGCAGACGTAACTTGTACGCGAGACGGGTGATTGGCTAGACCAAAAACATGTATATAGTCTAGATGATATACTTTTCTTTATTTCTGTGTATTTCTTAATGCTATCACATTATTATTCTTGACCAAAACGTCAATTTTATACAAGCCGCTAACAGGTGACTGACCCAAATATATCGGTTGCAAAATGCAAAATTGAATCATCATGGTGAACAAAGGTCTGAGCGTGGTGTTACATATTTCAATAAACATGACTGTTTTGCTTCACTGAATAAGCAGGTTGACATAACATTCAATAAATTCACCACAGGACTTCGAATAATCAGTTTGAATTAGAACATCATTTGGATGTCCAGATGCAGTCTACTGATTCTTTGTTGACTATTATTAGTTCTACCACACATCACATGTGATGGGTCCCTTGGGCAAGACAGAAACCTGTGATTGCGGGTTCGAATCCGGGTTCACCCTGATTATGATTCTAGGTTTATCAGCACCCTACCCGTGCTCGTGGGTTTCACCAAAGTGGTAAACGTCTGAGACCTGCATCACTTCGGGCTTTCCTCCCACATCAAGCTGACACGCCGTGATATAACTAGAATACTGTTCAAAGCAGCGTTAAACCCAACTCACTCACTCACACATGATGGTCACCTCAGCATGGTCCAGATATCGACCCAACTCATCAGAGCCTGCTGAGGTGTGACAAACATGCGTCTTGTCTTCACGATGATATACAGTGATCAACATAGAAGTTTTACAATCACAACTCAAACATGGATGTAATTGAACCTACAGTTTTGACACGTCCCATGTCAGCTGTGACCCACATGTCCACAGCTTGAGGCAAACTGTAAGTCCATGTGAAGACTCAGCTCTTGTTATATCACCTAACTTCACGGGCAGCCAGGAAAGATTAAAAATGTGTTTATAATCGAGGATTCATGATAAGTTGTTTAAATATGGGGAAAACATCAACTAAGTTAATTTAGCCCAGGTGGACAAATACTGACTAGTGCATAATGGGCCCCCACCCTCCTGCTTCACTGACCAGTGACTTGCTGACAACAATAGTAGGAGGTCATTTCCAAGACTTTATCCACTGTCGATCGGACATTACTCTTCATGATTGCCATGATTGGTAACAATCTGTCAGACATGAAACACGACAATCCATGGCCCAGAACCTGAACAAACCTGGAACCCTGAACAACACACGGTCGGCCATGTCACACATCGTTACCAGTCAATTAGGATTCATAATCGGCTCTTATGACATGTTTGATACAGAGCAAGGCTAGACATATCTGGGAATAGTGTCACCATGGCTACTACAATGCTAGTCTGATATGTGGTGTACCCATGCAGTGTAACCATGGCAACACAAATCTAGTCTGACATGAGGTGTTGAGCTGTGTGAAGTTGGGGTGATGAGGTCTAGCCATGCAGTGTTACCATGGCAACACAAATCTAGTCTGACATGAGGTGTGGAGCTGTGTGGAGCTGTGTGAAGCTGGGGTGATGAGGTCTAGCCATACAGTGTTACCATGGCAACACAAGAGGGAGATGACAGTACCTCCTAACTTCCTGCGTATCCCGAAGTTCTTGGAACAGGAAGTGGGTGACGAGGTTGAACCAGAGACACGGCTCCTTCTGATGGGACAGGTCCTCTCGACCGCATTTCTCCTTCACACTCTGAATAACATACAAGCATACAATTAACATACAACATACAAGGAACATACAATTAACATACAACATACAAGGAACATACAATTAACATACAAACATACAAGGAACCTACAAATAACCGAAAAACAACATACAAGGAACCTACAAATAACCGAAAAACAACATACAAGGAACCTACAAATAACCGAAAAACAACATACAAGGAACCTACAAATAACCGAAAAACAACATACAAGGAACCTACAAATAACCGAAAAACAACATACAAGGAACCTACAAATAACCGAAAAACAACATACAAGGAACCTACAAATAACCGAAAAACAACACTGATAAAAGGAACCTACAAATAACCTAAAAACAACATACAAGGAACCTACAAATAACCAAAAAACAACATAAAAGGAACCTACAAATAACCGAAAAACAACATACACACAACATAGAAAAAACATACAATTACAAACAACATAAAAAACAACATGCAAGGAACCTACAAATAACCGAAAAACAACACAGAATTAACCTAAAAACAACATACAAACAACATAGAAAAAAAACAAAACATACGATTACAAACAACATACAAATAACACACAAACAACACACAACCAACATATTAACAACACACACATAACGAACAAACAATACAAATAGTGAGTGAGTGAGTGAGTGGGTGAGTATGGTTTTACACTGGTTTTAGCAATATTCCAGCAATATCACAGCGGGGGACACCAGAAATGAGCTTCACACATTGTACCCATGTCGGGAATCGAACCTGGGTCTTCGGCGTGACAAGTGAACGCTTCAACCACAAGGTTACCCGACCGCCCCTAACAACACAAATAACATACAAACAACACACAAATAACATACAAGTAACAAACAATTGGTCCAACATATTTATTCATGGCTTGATTCAAGTGACAATAGACTCTTAATTATCAGTCGATTGTTACGTGGCACCCTGTTCAAATATACTTCTAAATCACATGGACCATGTCGACATCACAGATATGTTTTCAATGATATACATCTGCCATACTAGGAATCATGGACACAGACAAGCTCTGTAACATGACAAACCTTTCAAATATTATACTTGTCATACTTGTTAAATATTTAGCATGTTATAGATATTTAAAAAAAAGAAATGAGACCCTACACGATCCTGGTGAGTGTTCAGAAATGATGCAGTGTTTGACCTCGATAATCATCCAGGTGAGGCGTTATTAGCTGTCAACTGTCATCCAGATGACAATGAATCACCTGCCCCATTACTGGGGCCAACTCAGTCAGAATGATTATCCATATTATAACTTATAAGAAGTGAAATTTGTTGTGTTCCCATTGCCATCATGATCAACAATTAGGGTAAATGTAGGCACTGGGATATTACTGTCTGTCACACATGGCTAACTAACCCCGTCACATAACTTCTCACATTAGAACACAAATGTATGCTCAGTCATCGGAGGGCATTAACTTGGGAAGAATGTCAATAAATTCTGCCTCAACAAGTGCTTCAAGTCGATGATAAGCTCCTTGGATCAGGGGACTCACTAGAATCTCAGTCCATTTCTAATTAGACTGGAGAAATAAAACTTGAGTTTTCCAGGATGCTAATCATCTCAGGACGTTATCATGTTCTCCAAGACCTGCTCAGAGGCCAATATTCAGTCCCATGTCTGCAGCAAATGACAGTCAAAATTCCCAATTTGAATTGATAATATTCCAATTCCTCTGATTTACGAAACTAAGAAAGATCAAATTTTAAACAATACCTTGTTTTTTCCCCAATTTACCTGCCAAGGAGACCAAGCTTGGAGTCCTAGATAACTCCCTGCATCTCTAAACTCTATTGGGGACACGGGTGGCCCAGTCGTCTAAGGCACCGCGATGTGCACGCCAGAAACCAATGATTCGAATCCCGGGTTTGCCCCAGTTATGTTCCTAGGTTTGTCAGCACCATACCCATGCTTGTGGGTTTCACCGAAAAGGTAAACGTCTGAGACCTGCATCACTTTGGGCTTTCCTCCCACATTAAGCTGACACGGCGTAATATTACTGGATTACTGCTAAAAGCGGCGTTAAACCCAACTCACTCACTCTAAACTCTTTCTAAATGATAAGCATGATTAGGCTTCAACTACAAATTAGCTTTGTTACAATATTACCTCTGACTTTCCGAGTCTTTTAGTATTACAACTCATCAGCTGTAGATTGCTGATGTGATGTGAATTAGTGAATTGGTCTGATCATGACTGGTTTTACCAATAGAATTGTGGATTTTAAATATTGACATGTGCCCCGAATCTTCAAGTTAGCGAAACACCATGACCATACAAAGTAGAGATAATTTATGGATAACAACTTCTTTATTTACTGCAAAGGCGACATTTCGGTATAGATCCTTATACCGTTGTCAAGTAAATTATCTCTACTTTGTCATCCGTCAACTTCTAAGTAGTGGCCACCAAACAATTCACCACGACCATAGTCTCGCAAGGGAAGATGCACTAAGATGACAAGCATCAAGAAATAAGTTGTCAAAACCTTTCTGAAAACAAGCTGTTACCATAGTTACAGTGTGCAAGATGAGTGAGTGAGATTGGTGTAGTGCTGCTTTAAGCCTGAGGGTAGACGTCTACAACACGTGTTGGTATGACAGATGTTACAGGTTCGGCAGCCCTCATGGTTAGGCGGGGAAAGGGAGGTCACTCTGGGAAGTGCCTTCTAATAATTACTTGGCCACGGATCTGCTGCCCCAAGTTATAACAAATGGTACCGAAACTGTCCGACTCCTCTGAAGACTGAACAGTCTGATCATGCCGTCAGCAAGTCCACTTTCACTATATAACTTCAGCCAGGGAATGAAAGCTTTTTTTCAGAAATCACTATTACCATGTTTAACATATTTAATAGTTTTAAATAATATATTGCAATTTTAACTTTTTTGTTTTGGTAATTGCTCTATAATAACTATTCAACCAACTAAAAAATACAAAAAAAGCCTTTTCATGCTTATGTAGCTTAATCTAGTTCAGGTGTACTAATGATTGCAGTAATAGGGTCATACATTTAATTCTCCGTCAGATATAACCATGGTGACACATTTCAATTCTATATCAGTATCCTGACGTACCCTGATTTTAAGCAGTTAAGATGGCATTGCTGATATTTCAATGGACGAGTAAAAAACACAAATTTCTGCATCATACCAGTAGGTGATGTCTTAAACAATAGAATTCAGCTATATTCCAAAAGACAAAAAATCCTTAATTGCCTCGCTGCACTCGAGTGATATCACCTATTTTCGAACACCTGATTGGTTTTCATTAATGAACGGACGTGTTTTGGTGCACAGTTCTCACCACAATTCTTGCAGGTCCACATTAAAAATAATAATGGTTATTGAAAGTCTGAAAGCTAATAACAAAATATGAATATTTGTCAGATAATAGTGTTCACACTATTTTACTCTTCCTTTTTATCAAGACATGGAGACCAGAATTTTGAAAGACGACAGAATTTTCAAAAAGGCGTACAGTACTTCAGTGAAGCAATGTTGACAGGCCCATCGTGTGCACTCTCAAGTCAGAAGCTTTGATGACATCACACCCCTTGTTATAATCTGACAAATCACTATCAATCATTACCAATATGGTTATTTGAAAATAGGCGTTGTTTGAAAATAGGGTACTCAATGATGATTGATATTCCCATCAACAATAATGTTAAACACTGCTTTTTGGACGTAAAAAGAATGATTCATTAGATTTACAGCCATAATATTACTCATAATAAAATCTTACTTTGGTTTATCCTACTTTTCCCTGCTAGACTGAATTTGAATGTATTGATGACAATCTGAGAGGGCAACATCTGTTGACCATTAGGCTACAAGGAAGGTATATTGACGTTTGTGTGGAATCCTAGTGTCTAGGCTGTTTCGTCTATACCTACATTTTGAGATGGAGATCATAAAAATGATGAATTGTCTGCTAAATGAAACTCAAATAATAGTAAACTTGCACTTAACATCCCAGTAACTATCGAGTTATTAAAGCAATCAACATATTTCTGTACACCAAAATCAATCTTTCGTCAACAACATACAATCGGTAACAGCTGACGTATTGAATCTCTCCATACAATCAGCGACCAGCCACTTACTTGGGGAATCTGAACTTTTGGGAACTGATCCTTGACAGGTGGGGGCAAGGAGGGCAGCTGACCAAGCTTGCTCTTCACCCACAGAAACTGTAGAACCAGGGTCAGCGCTACCCCCAACAGCAACGACAGGATAGCGACCTCCAGCATATTTCAATCTCGCTGTCGGGTCTCCGCCTGTCAGTGAGTCAAGCTGGCGAATGTCACTCGCCCCGCCTGGTCGATGGATTGCATCTCAACTCTCAATACTATTGCCATTACTTGGATTGGTTTCATTGACAAACGGATCTGGGTGGATTTCACGGAGACCACACCATTAGTCCCGTATTTACACCCATTTCAAGATCAAAACAATCCCATTCATATGTTCGGCGCCATCTTGATTTTGATAGAAAATGGGAGTTACCTCCCTTCAAGCACCTGTTTCTAGAGTTTTATTCGCGGCAATTATGAAATATTGCAGTAATCTGAAAAGAGTATGTTTACTCTAGTGGCATGGATTTACCTAGATCTATCAATATTAGAGTCCAGAAGACGCTCAGTTATAATGTTTGGAGATCGAAGACACGAACACGGGATTCCGGGACTTGATTTCCGTGAATTATTCACCTGCTCAGAAACCTTAATCCAGTTATTGGTGAAGAAAACGAACCACTGATATTCTTAACTTTAAATGTATTTGTTTCCAGAGTAGAAACGACAGACATGGCAAGTTGGTTTGGTTCAAGCTATAGGCTGGCTTTTGTGTTGCACCTCAATGTCGCAGTTGTTGTAGCATATCAATATGATTATGCTCAACACTAAGTAAAGCGTACCCAAAAGCTTGCATTAGGTCTGTCAGTCCTTATTTCATAAAAAAATGTCTTCGTGTTACGAACAAGACAAAAGTCCGGTCACGTGAAAAGCCTACAATCGCGGTTTGGTCACCATGGTCACTGGATCTGAAAGTTTCGCGGAATAATGCGAACCGAGCCGAGCAAGCTCGGGTGTTATCGGTTATTGTTTACAAACAAAGCTTCAGGCGGATGGCGAAGATGCTTTCTCTGCATTAGTGAACAGTTGACAGAATGAAAGTACAATGTAACTACTATTAAACTATAATGACTGTTAAATACAATCGTACAAATTCTGCTCACCAATACTTACCAATAATTATCGATGTTAATTGTTTTGTTTATCTCTTATAAGGTGAGCTTTAGAACAAAATGTTGACACCTTCGAAGTGTACTTTGGTTAATGCAATAGAACAGACATGTGGAGGGGTAGGGTAATGGCCTTATTTGGCCTACTGGAGAAGTCAGTATTAATTTTATGTAAACCATTAAAATATTGGTGTGAAACTCATCGGTCATGTTCGACTGGTTGACAAGAAGCCTGTTTTATGTGCACACGTGCAAGTTTTGTTAGTCATGGCATCATCAAGAGCACAAACAGCCAAAAATGGCGAAATGAGTTAATCTGGCCGATGTTTCGAACTTCAAGGAGATAATCCAAATGTGGGCAAGTCTTAACCCCATGATGAATGTTTTACCACATGTTTGTAATGTATCTATCTGCACCTCTTAAGAAACAAATCAGCTTGGGTCAAAGAATTGTTTCAATTAATAGAAAAACGCACACTGAAAACCTCTAAAATAATCTTTTATGAAAAACTACCTACCTAACCTATATGCATTTAGTGTTGTCCTAAGTGCCAAGTCCCCTTAACGCTGATCACCTGGCAGGGCAACAACAAGTACTACATGTTTATGTCTTTTAGTATAACGCGGTTGAACCACCGACATCTACACAGCGGGGGCGGTCGTCGGATAAATATAGTGACCAGGGACGGATCACTGTCTTCATACAGACATATAGAGTCTACATTGATTATGATGCGGAAAGTATCCATTTATTTTACTTTTTAAAAGAAATTTGAAATAAGGTAAATTTCCTGGTTACAGAGAGGAGAGAAGTTATTCCCAGGAACCCCTCAACTCGTTCAAACACACCTGTACGTCAGCTGACCGATAGACAAGCTAAGTTATCAAAAGGCTTATTCCGAGACATGTTAAAGGTTAGTTATCATTAAAGACATATTTTACGCAACCGTAACAATCTCGAAACTTTTTTATCAACTAAAATCGTGAACTATGTCACCCGTGAAACAAGCATTGGAATAGTCCGAAATTAAAGAGACGTGATTGTTTGTTGTACACGGAGAGGGCAGCTCGCCGTCCGCAGGTTAACTGTGACGTGCTTGTATTGCCAACAATCGTTACACTATTATATAAACTTGATGTCCCGTTCTAGTTTCATTTAAATCCATGCGCAATTAGAGTTAATAATTAGACAATAGGCGCACGTGTTAAAATGAAATGCAATAAAGTAATATATTCGTCATTATTTACGTCTGAATGAATTCATGAAATCGAGACCGTCAGAATAATGTTTTGGATATATATGTTGACACTGCTCGAAATATGAATGTAAGCAAATTAATTAATATGTCGAAATACAAGTTGAGTGCGTTAGTTTTAGGTCGCGCTCTGGTGGTTTCAACCAATAAAGTTCGTTATTATATTACATATTGATTAAACCGACAGGCTAAAATGTTTTGGAAATAACTGAGTGCGTGAGTTGTGTTTGACGCCGCTTTTAACAGTATTTCAGTTATTTCACTGGAAATAACTGTGACCTAGTGAGCCGACTTATGTATACGGGTCAATCAGTGTACTTGGTTGTTGTTGTATACGGGTCAGGCAATGTAGAGTAAAACATGGATATTACGATCTACATGGAACCCGAGAAATCAGTTCGTTATATACGTTGTTCGTTATATACGTTTTCGTTCGGAATCGTCCGCCATCTTAGATAAAAGGAAACACAATGCTCGTAATTGCAGCATTGACTCGTATTAGCAGTGATCACTTCATAGCAAGCAATCCTAACATTTCACAACATTCATTTAATAACATTAAATTCATAACATTTTAAAAACATTGTTCATCATGTGTGTATTTAGCGTTTCATGATTCACATACGGGAACGCGTGTAGTCGGCTGTTGTCGTTGTGCGTTGGTCAGCCAGTGTATTGGTTGGCATTGTGTACGTTCAGCCAGTCTATTGGTTGTCGTTGTGTACAGGTCAGCCAGTGTATTGGTTGTCGTTGTGGCGGGTCAGTCAGTGTATTGGTTGTCGTTGTGTACGGGTCAGCCAGTGCATTGGTTGTCGTTGTGTACAGGTCAGCCAGTGTATTGGTTGTCGTTGTGGCGGGTCAGTCAGTGTATTGGTTGTCGTTGTGTACGGTCAGCCAGTGTATTGGTTGTCGTTGTGTACGGTCAGCCAGTGTATTGGTTGTCGTTGTGCACGGACAGCGACTGTATTGGTTGTCGTTATGTACGGGTCAGCCAGTGTACTGGTTGTCGTTGTGTACGGGTCAGCCAGTGTATTGGTTGTCGTTGTGCACGGACAGCGACTGTATTGGTTGTCGTTGTGTACGGGTCAGCCAGTGTATTGGTTGTCGTTGTGTACGGGTCAGCCAGTTTACTGGTTGTCGTTGTGTACGGGTCAGCCAGGGAATTGGTTGTCATTGTGTACGGTCAGCCAGTGTATTGGTTGTCATTGTGTACGGTCAGCCAGTGTACGTGGTTGTCGTTATAGCCTTCGTCTAATCAGAATAATATAGATTCTTGAACACTGGTCAGAAAATGGGCTTGAAGAATGAGTTTGCAGGAATTAGAGGGTATCCATGAACCGAGACCAGTGTTAGTGGTTCAGCCAGGCGCAGGGACAACCACACATGGAACGTTGTTCAGCTCATCTGGAAATATATCGCGAGATGTCTGCAGCCACGTGATATTGTTGTGACACCATGTTGGTTTGGATTGTTTGTGGGACTTATTAACGATGGCGCATGATTCCTGTAGGACTCGAGTCGGGGATATGTTATCAGTTGCCCGTATTCTGGGGGACGGGCGTGTACAGAGGTGCACAGCTATCTGCAATCTTCTTCAACATTTATGAACATCAGTGTTCGGTAATTACGTGGAATAACTTCCGTGTATTATTATATTACCTCGACACAAGTGGGTAGCTTCGCAACAGGAAACAAACAGGAAGTACGTACTCTAAAATACCACTAAAACCGGATGTTCTGCTTTGTTCAGCGCGTTGTTTGGGCCACATGGCGGGTTGAGGTGTTCTGGATGCGGTAAACCATTGTGATTAATTTGGTTTTACAATCCGCTATAGATATGTAGTTGAGGTCACCTTGAAGGAACGTCTTTACAACTCCCTGCCTCGACGTGCGTCTACTTCCCAATGAGTTTAGACTTGTTTTGCTGACACGTGGATGGTTTTGTACACAAACATGGCTTCCAATCAGTTGACCCTATCACAACTGAGACAGTTCACTCCAGCGTTGTATTAATACGCAGTGTCTAAGGTGACATCTGAAACATGGAGTATTTTAAGATTAATATTACATGACACACACATTACTAGGAGTGTTTCCGCATCGTAAATATCGTATACCAGGACTATAAAATAAGTATTATGATCGCAAAAGGGTCACATGAAACGATTGTTCTTCCTGATATAGGATATTTACTATACGGCAGCACACTCGACTAATAATAAATTTCTATGTACCTCAATAAACGCCAACACATGAGAACCTTTGTCGACTTGATTCACAAGATATTATTGTACAGTGCTGTATAGATAAAGGGGATCTGAGCTCGGACAATTGACAGTGCTAACAAGCTGGGATGAAGACCTTCCGCCATCAAGCCCTTTCGCCTTCCCGTACGCTCAAAGATGAAAATCAATGCTGCAGTTGATGATGAGCAATTTGCTACAGTTGACACCCGTCACTACATGCCAACTCTAGGCCTAGGCAAATATTCCCTCCTGTCTACACCGATAGCTCCAACCGACATGTTGACTGGGGGCATCGCACACCAACAGGGTGTAAATCCTCAAATAAGCCTGTTTGTATATATACTTAACCGCAAAAGAAACGTCACCATGGATAGATATATGAGAAACCTTATTTGTCCAAACACTGTCAACATACTTTGAGACATATCAAAAAGATGAAACTTGGCAAAACTGATCATCAAGGTTGAAATTAAAGTGTCAAATGTTCTTAAAGTGAAACACAACACTAGTCTCTGAGAAAATGGCATCACAAGTCAGTATCTCGTGTGTCCGCCATGTGCATTGATGACTGTCGTGCAACGTCGATACATGGAATGGATGAAGCGGTTGATGAAGGCCATGGGCACTTGAGCCCACACTCTGAGGAACGCCTGACGCAGTTCAGCTGTAGTTGTCGGCCTTGGTCGGACGTCATTCAGCCGTCTTTGAATCTCCTCCCACAGGTG